GTGGTCAAAAACACACACATGACTGTTTCTAATTTTATGCCATCTCATGTGGATTGCCACCTCTGTCCCAAATAAAAACCCAGTTGGACTGGGTCAACAAACAGAAACATATAAAACATCTTGTTGCCGGAGAGGCCCAGACGACATGAGTAGGAACGTGACTATTGATCAATCGAGTCGAGGGGGGCTGTTGTTGGAAGCGGAGAAGACTACATTTCCTCCTGAGTTGCAGATAAAGAAACATTGATTTGCCCCGCTCAGCACAACATTGGCTACCCAGACGTACTCATGTCATCACGCTAAATTTAGACTGCTACGAACCGAAGGAGAGCAAAAGAGGGTGTTTCACAAAACAAATAGTGACTGTGAAGACCATGTGCCAGCACTGCAGCAGCCCCTCTGTGATCATCCTCAGGGGATGTTTGAGAGTGATGATGACTTTCTGGGGCTCTCATCTTGTGTAAATACATACAGGAGTGACCCTGCTACTGTAGTTACTTTCCCTGTGTGTTCCCTGTGAGCCACTGTGGTGCAGGAAGCCTACAACACTGGAGAATATCAAAGAGGTTCTCCTGTTTTCAGCTCTTTATCTCTAATGTGCATAACAAAACAGCAACAATCCGCAAATGAATAAATGAAGCAGGCTTAACAATAATTAGACACACCCAGCCTACACCCATTAGATCAGTCTGCAAAGTGAAACTATACCAGTTGATAACTCCATATTGTAGATTGCAGTAGCAGAGCATTCAGGCCGGTTACATCATGCTCCAATAATAACAGACTCCAGTCAGTGTTATGTGGGTAAAAAAGAAAATGTACAGGTTGAAGATGGGTCAAAAAAATGGAACTTGAGCAGCAGCAGAAATCATTCAGTATAGGACTAAGTAACAGTTAATAGTTTTCTGCAACCTGAAAAATCATTTTAAGAAGATTACAATTTAAATAGACATTAATGTGAATACCAATTGGTATCAAATATTCCAGTGTGAGAAAGGGAAAGATAGAAAGAAACAGGAGAAATTTAAATAAACAAAAAAGTGTTACAGGCCTCTCACATACAAATGAAAGAATTAGATGAATGTGTAAAAATATGTGAAATGTAAGTTTACACATGACAGCCATTTGTCCGCTGGTCTTTACATACACACATACCTGTGTGTGTCTGTTTATTAAAGGTCACATATTATGCAAAATACACTTCTCCATGTTTTTCTAACTCTAATATGTGTCCCTAGTCTGTCTACAAACCCCCCAATTATGAGAAAAGTCCATCCTCTCTGTCTTTTGCCTGCTCCATTTTTCAGAAAATGTGTGCTCAAACAGGCCGTTTAGAGATTTTCCCTTTATGACATCACAAAGGGCAGTAACCCCTCCCCCAGGCGGGGGACACTCCCACAGCTAGGTGTTTGTTCTGTCCTCTGAGTCTGCCTTCTCACCGTATATAATTGGGAAGGGTGCCTTAGCCACATCCCCTTCCAGAGAGGGGCGTGTTCAGACACAGCTCATTTACATATTTAAATATGTATCAGCCTGTTCTGAGCAGCAACTCTTATCAAATGATATTAGCTTATCACTGTACAGAGATACATACAGTTCCTCTATATGCAGATGACACTGCCTTTATTCTTTTTCAAACTGTTCATTCCACCACTTTCATTGCTGTTTTCATTTAATCTCTTTTAAAAACACCTCTCTAATTTGAATCTGGTACTGCATTGACCAAAGTTTAGAACTTTATAGGTTTAGCTTTTTATGAATTATTTTGGATGTTTTTACTCTATTGCTTCTGTACATTGGCACTATTGTGTTTGAGAATCCTCCCCCATGAGCATTTAAACAAGAGAGGCAGATGATTAGCCACTAAGCTAATTGAGCATTACAATTAAGCTGTTGCTTTTACATTTCCTTTTTTACATTTAAAGGGTGCTGAATTTACCTAGATTGATTTCATGGGAGGTCTTGCGTCACAATAAATAATTTCAACAAAATTAATAATTTAAAAGGCCTGAAAGCTTTCTGGGTCTTTAGTCCAGAAAAAAAAAAACAGTTGATACAATCCTGTCCCTGCCATAACCTGATGAAAAGACTCAGCATTCAGACTGTAGTATTCTCTTTCCATCTCTTCTCCTAAAGCAGACCACTCCATCACGTCTCAGCAGCTTGGCAGCCGGCATCTGTCTGCTTCTGTCCTCGCCTTATTTCTCCCCCAGTTTGTCTTCAGCCAGCCAGCTCAGCAGAATGGTGAATAACTGGACCGTGTCCTCCATCTGTCTCTGTGAATCACTTTGTGAAATTTAACAGAACGTTTATTTTGATTTGCCTGACTGATCACTTCCTCAAAGCTTTTGCCCCTCCCTTCTTCCCTCTAGACTTTGCCTTTTTTTCACTAGTAGTTTTTTCCCCCACTTTGGTGCAGAACTGGCACGTTTCTTCATCTTACATCTGCAGAGGCTTTTCAATTTATTCACATGGCTGGAGCTTCCTGCAAGACGACACACACTAATGAGGCTCACGCTGAAGCCAAACTAGAGAAGATTTTAGAGCCTTGATCTCAGTATTAGTAAGAGAACATCCCAGTGCTTAGAAGAGACGCTACCTTGAGAGAAGAAATCGTCCCGCCTTACAGAATTTGTATGAACAAGAAACAGAGAGACAACTTTGATAGCAAAGTGTTTAAGGAAGACTCTTCTCTGAAACATTGCACAGATTGCCTTTTCACTTGCAAGATTTCAAAATGTTCTGTTACAGTTACAGTATGCTGCTGCATATTACACAATGATTAAGATTTACATGCACATGATTCTGATATCCTTGACCGCGGATCACTGTGTCTCTCTTTTTTACTGATGTTGGACCACAGACAGAACGAGAGGCAGAGAAAGGTTGGCCTTGCTTTTAGATAGAAAGATTGAGCGAGAAAGAGAGGTAGAAAGACGGAGAGTGCCCTTGATATAGGTACTCATGTTCCACATATTGATCCCTCACACATGCATTACAAACAAGAGAGAGAAATGAGACACCTGCCAAACATTTCAGGAGCGTACACCCATCTAAGAGAAATAGGTGTTGTCTGAGCACGAGCACATTATGCACAGCAGTGTTTGTCAGTTCAAGGCAGCGGTGTCATTTTGTTTGCCTAACCTTGTGTCTTTCGGAGCAGAGAGATAAGTTTAAGAATGAAGGATGAGTGGAAAGATCCCAACGAAGTTAGCACATGATAGTTTTATAAATCAGCTGGCTGGCTGGAAGTGGGGAGAGTTGGGAGATTAAATGAAGTGTGGTGACTATGAATAATGTATCGAGCAGACAAAGAGAAGAGAGGTAGGGTCGTGGTTACTCTGCAGATGTTCTCTTGCAGGATGGATGGCACTGCTTCACCTTTTTACAAATTTGTTTAACTAAATGTACGCCTAATGGACTTTTAGCTCATTTCTTCACATCTTTGTAATCTATAGAGTGCTTTCTTGTTTAGTTTTTTTCAGATTTTAAGCAGCATCAGTTTTGCTGGCCTTGCCCTGGCTAGGTTTCTTGGTGTAGTTTGGCTCTAAATGCCATATTATCCGACAAAAACATCACCGCTGCCTGCATCAGATTCAGCCATGAAACTAGCACCCCATCCTAAGAGCGAATCCTGACCGGTGAAGATCTCCCAAAAAAAGCTGAACAAATGTTGAAGGAGTTCTAGGTAGCTACTATAGTATTCAGTTAATATTTCAGCAGCACCCACAGGGTGTGTGTGTGGTTCAACATTAAAGGCTCACTTCTGAGCATCCAGCCGTCTCAGGGGAGCCAAAATGCTGCGTACAGCAAATTCCTTAATGATGAGGCCATTTCAGCACCTCACTACCAAACATGTAGTTTCTCTGAATCAGAGGGATTAAGGCATGATAGGAGGTTGAACTGCCAACTGCAGTTAGCCCGCCTTTTTGCTTGTAGAATACAACTAACATCTGCAGGCTGCAATTATGCCTTTTCATCAACATAAATGCACAAAACTACTTCAGGTGACACTTACTATATCTATAAAAAGAAAACTCCCATTTTTCCACTTTACCTAACTATTAACCGAAAGTAAAAACGGTTGAATAATTTCTTCAAGAAATTTTTCAACCAAGAGAAACTAACTAACCCTTTTTTTACAAAATGTCTACATTTCCAGCAATATATTGACATTGTTAGTTGATAGGGTTCTACTTAAATGAACAATTGATTGTACAGTCAGAATTCAAGGAACTATAAGTTTGGATATCTTCTACAGTGAGTCTGTAGTTCTGCCCTAACTTTATATAAGTTCATCACTAATTTACAACCCTTACACTAAAAAAAATGAAGGCATTTCTCTCTCAAAAAGTTGTTGTCATAGGTGAGAGACGACTCAGAGGTCACATATAACCAACCTTTTTTTTTATTTATGATGCAATCAGAGTCTGATGAAAAAAATCTTTTGGCAGCTAATGTTTAGTAGGGTACTTCACTCAGACTTACACACAATATAAAGCTAGACATATCAGCATGTAGAATCCAGAATATTCTCTGTGCTTGCACATACACTGTGTGTAATAGAGTCCACATGACCGTGCGGAGCTGGACTGCAACGTCAATTAGTGAAAGTAGTGATGCGGCGCGGCGCTGTCCACACACCGCGGTGCTGAAACGCAATGCTGCCGCAACACATGGCAACTCTATAAACTATAGAGTGTCAAATGTTTACCATGTTCTCCATCATCATCGTGACCAGTCAAATGGAAACAGATGTCAAAATGCAAGAATGATATTTAGGCAAGAGTTGCAGCAGCAGAGTTGGAGCAGGAGTTCTGCAGGTGAAGTGATACCACTCCTATAGCTAGAGCAGCCTGGCAGCATGACAAGGCTTAACTCTTCAATGCGCCATCTGATTATGAGCTTAAATATAGACTAAAAAAACACATATGCACATCTGAAATAATGACACAGTAAAGTAAGAGGCCAAGAAAACAGAATCAACATGCATCACTTACACATAAGCGTGGTATATGAACGCCCATCCCCTCGGTCTCTCCAGCGCATTATAAAGGAAATTCTGTAGCTTCCGATAGCTGGCATTTTTCTTCGACGGTCTGGGTCTACCTGCGGAGATGCTGGACCTCGGTCTGCAGAGGATACTGCTCCGCTTGGTGCTTTCAGATCCCGCAATGAGCAGCGCCCCATCCCTGCTGGATTCCGGAGCTCCCGGGTCCAATCCGACAAAGCCGACTTTGTGCTTCTTCTCTCCGGCTTGAGTTGGGTAAACCCCGCCGTTGAGAGATTTCTTCACCATTCTAAAGTCGAGACGACTCTGACGAGGAGTTGTCCGTGTCCTTGCCGCGGGGATGCATCACCGGTGCTGAGGGGTGTGTGCTGCTGCTGCTGCTGCTTTGCTGCTGCTGCTGGAGGATGCAGTCGCTGTCGGTCCCTCTAGAAAACCAATTGCAATAACCACGCGAAACTGCACAGTGTAAGCTTTTACCTTAGCCCCTTCCGGCTGTTTGGCAAACAGAGCAAGGAGAGAAACACTCGAGATTCTCACTCCACAGTCCAATCACGTTTGCCATCAGCAATTCGTCGGCAATCTAGCTAATGGCCCAGAAATGACTTGCACTGCAAAGTTAATTTCAGCATGCAACCAGTCGTTCTTCTGGTGCAGTTACATTTCAGCTGGGATTGTCAATTTGGATCATATGTCAAATTTAGTTATTGATCAGACTGAGAGGATCATTACTGTACCCTTTCTCCAAACATCTATCCTGAGATAACCTTCCGCCCTCTCCACTCAAGTCCAGCCCAAATGAGCAGCTGCAGATACTTCCAGTCCATGCCTCATGCAATATTCACATGTGCTGCTCTCTTCAGTCATGTTAATGGAAATCAACCACTGTGTGAAGTGGTGTATCTAAGACTGTCAGTCCCTGATTGAGCAAAGGTAATAGAGTTTGTTTCTGTTTTAAAATGTGGCATTTCAGACATCTCAGCCCTCAGTGCAATGCACATCAGTGTAGATTCTCATACAGCAAACATAGAGAAAAAAGATCTGGACTAAATAATGTGAAGGAGTAGTGAATTACATTTCAGGATAAGAATGTTCACTTGAGAGCAGGATGTGAGCCTATACTGCACGGACAGGAGCCTGATCAATATAGGATGTTTGAGGATGATATGGATACAGATTCTAAAGTGGAAATATTGACTGATTACATGTGTAGTGGTTGATTTACGGTGAATTTTTCAGATGGAATGTAAATTGACCTTTTTTCAATTTGGATTGTGCATTAATTTTGCACCAATACAACTTTGCAAAGGTCACTATAAAGCTGTGTCATTACAGAATATGTAAGACTCTGCAACATGTTGTACAGACATCGAGATTGTACAGTAAACTATGGAGGTGTAGCGAGCTCCATTTAAAAAAACTGTAATGATTGTTTCCTGCATTATAAGGTCTGTTTTTACATATCAGCTCATATACAGTAAGCAAATATATATCTTGACACTGATATATTTGAGATAAAGGCCAACTTCGACCAACAGATACATCAGTCAGTCTGAAGTTTGTAATGTGACTTTAAACAAAATTATGAACAATTGGACTAAAGGAAACAAACAAAAACCATTTCAGTCAGAGATCCTTTTGTTTTCGTGCAGCTGCACTTAGTCACAACCAGCTGGTACGTGCAAACTGAGGGATGTTATTATCTTTTATCAATCTTCTTTTGACTCATTCATGCAGTTTAATACAGTAGAACAAAAGCGACACGAGGCCGGGAGGACACCTTGTAAAGCAGGGAAATCACAGGATAAATAGTAGGGGTGAAAAAGAGGTCCTGACGAGGAGGAACACCACTTCACGTGTGTATGTGTGTGTGCGTGTGTGCATGTGTGTGTGTTCTCATTCTAACCCCGCACATCATGTCCTCTATTTGGTCTCAGCTCGCCAACACTTCAGCTCCACTGAAAAAACATCATCATCATACTGCGAACATTTTATTTACTATCTTGTTAAGATTGCATTTACAATGATACTTTTAGAAAGATTCAACAAAGATCCTTTGTACAGTTATTTTCAGGCAACATAAAGATTGCAAATAAAGTATATACAAAAACATTAGAATAATGTAAATAATGTGTAATCAGTGACATGTTTTGTTTGTCCAGCTAGAGCCAACATGCTGCAGTCATTTGCTAATTTAACTGGTAACACAGACTTTCAAACCAGGTTGTCACTAATGCTGCATTCTTTGTTTTTACAATATACACTGCTCAGATTAAGAAAAACAATGGGGGGAAATTAAAACGATGCAAATACGCACTGGGTCTTTTTAACAGTGGGCATGCCTGTGCAGAAGGATGCATATTTGAACATGCTTTTTTGGAACCAGACAGCTTTTAAATAAATAAAAAGGTCTAAGTGATCTGCTTAATGAATGCAGCATGTCGAGACAGATTCTCGAGACGCATGTCAAAAACAAGTTGTCAGTAAAGTTACACTCAGCAAAGAAAAACAGCTTCTCCTCAGATGCCTAGCTTTATATACTACGTACATTATCGCTGTAAAAATAACCACATTTAATTTAAAGCATTACTGTGCTGCTGTAAGACACGTCCTACTCTTCTCTCTGACATCGTTACAGTTTGTATGTTCAAGAAATTAAAATAAAGAGAAAATAATGTGACTGTGTTTCAGTCGTGAAACAATCCCTTTGTTTACGTCATCCACAAACGGTTTACAGTACTTTTTGCTAACACTGCGACTTGAATTGACCGATCATTGTGCTTATTTTAATACCTACAGTAAAAAGACCCAAGAGTATGAAAAACACAAATTTAAAAATCAAATGACGACTTAGTTAACCGAAGGCGATCCTTCAACTAGTACATTTGAATTAATATATTAATAATTTAACAATGATTTAATTTCCCAACCTGTAATTGGCCACTGATTGACGAGCAGGCTCGTACAGTTTGCTTTAGCTACCTTTGTCTAGATTCTAATTAGCTAGCTTCTGTCCCTCACCCTCTCTCTCCCTGAAGATTAATGCAACTCTTCCTGACATGATAAAAGTTCAGACATATAAATAAAATACACAAGCTGTTACGTCTAAAATACGGCATGCCTTGGTCCTTTAAATACTGTTCAATACTTAGGCCGGAATGCTTTTAGATTCTTTAATACCTGATATAGAATAAGTGAGGGATAAAAACGCTCCTTTCAGACACAATAAATAACTATCCTTCATATAGTGCAGTAATACAGTACTCACACTAAACCTACAGTAATTGCACAGTGACCACATGCAACAGGCTTAAAAAGAGCCGCACCATGCTCGTTTCATCCGTCTTTTCATCGATCCCTCAATCCCTACTTCCATCTTTCTGTCTATACTTCGACTTTCTGCATCTCTATTCAGCCGGCTAACTACTTCACTCGGGGTCCAAGCATTGAGCCCTGGGGAACTCCCGCAGCCCATACAGAGAAAGAGGCAGCTCTCTGCAGTTGCAGTCCAAGGCAAAATGGATAACATCTGCATTCAGGATGACAGTTTGCTACAGGTAGTTTGGTTAATCCAGTTAATAGTAAGAGCATAGTCACGGCGGAGACCTTAACCAGCGTCTCTTTTTAATATGTTGAGAATATTTTGCACCACCTTTCCAGTCAATGTCAGCTTTGTGTGGACGGACAGTCAAAACAATAATCCTTCAACCTTGGTGGTATCCCAGTATAACAGCTCGTGACTAGTCCTGTGCTTCAGGCTGCACCAGTCTCACTGTTGGTTTGCGATAACTAACATTTGTTTGTACAGTCTTGTTTAGCTTGCGCTGAAACTCTAGTGGCATCCACAGTGGAAAGATCCCTGTGTGTAACTGGGGCAGTAGGGCGGGAGGAGCAGAGTATTTCCATTGGCAGTGTGAAGGAAAACGTTCAACTGTCTCTGTCATCTCTCATCATGTCTTCCTTTTAAGTTTCTCTGTCAAGTCCTCAGATGAAGTATCAGATCTCTTAGAGGTCTCCGTCTGAGGGCGGCAAACACAGTTTGAAGAGCCTGTGGAGAGAGAAAAAGTTTTTAATGAGGGGGGGATCCTGCCCTGTCTATAAAGTAATAATGACTGTGTGGGAAGAGGTGTCTGGAAGTGGTTTTATACTCTACCTTGGGAATGATGGAGGCATCTGGTCCATTACCTTGAGATTTTTAGCAGAGAGCTCAACTCTTGCCCCCTGGTAGGAGAAGACAAATGCTTTGAAATGTACAATTCCCATATTGCATCCAGCTCAATTGCCTCATTTGGCTGAATATCCAACCTTACATGTCCATAAATACTCGCTTTCAAGGGAGAATTAGATATTCAGGTAACACAGACTGAATTTGATTTTTTTTTTTTATTTGAGAAAAAAAAGAAAGTATTATTCATGAATAAAGTTTAGATGTAGAGTAGCTGAACTCTTGACTTGATGTTTTTTTTCCCTTGTATTTTAAGCACAAATGTTGTCTGGTTTAATGAATCAAAGTGGAAATGATACATTATGATTTTAAAATGACTAATTTTACCATGATCAGTATCAGAAGAATACTTATTAATTTGATATTTTCTGTCCAAAGACTGATTTCAGCTATTTTTCCCCAGTTTGATTTCTTATGTGATAAATAAAGACAGGTTATGAGTTTCTGCATGGTGGTGACCTGCAGCACAGTAGACAACTTTCCTATTGAAATTCTCACACTATTTAATAACTGATAAATCTTTAGGTACTGCGGTTCATTTGTTATGTTATTGCATTGTGGTATTGCTATTCCATTATTAAACACAAAAACAAACAAGAAACAATAGTGACAAGCTGTAGGAGACTGGTGTGGGAGCAGCAGGATGATGTACAGGTATGTGTGAACTAACTGTACCTGAGTAGGCTGGATGAGAAGGCAGAAAAAGATCTGCACCGATACACCACATAACATTTCAGAGGAGTTTTCAGCCACTCCCTTCTGGATAGACATCCCCAAAATCAGAACCAGCCGAGCAAAAACTAATGTATCCCCATGGCGATGGTTAAATAATTAAACAAAGCTACTGGGAGTCTGGGGAAATGCATGGACTAAAGGGGCGTGGAAGATACACAGGGGATGTGAAGTTTACTCATTAGATTATTTTATTGTTACAGTGGATAGAAGAAGCAAACAGCTGTTGACATGTCTGTGTAAAATGTTTTCTGATGATATTTATTGGAATAATTTAGATATATATCATTGCTTTGGTAGGCTATGTTGGATAGTTAAACCACATGTTTCTTAAATGTTTGTGTTGGAAGTTATGATTTTTTTTTCTGTCTAATTTAGAAGATTTTTAATACATTTTGAACTGTACCATAAATTGCCTCTCCAAAGATACGGAAGTTTCTAATAATAAATTGAATAATTAGTTGTTGTTGTTGTTGTTATTGTTGTTTCTCTGTTTGTCTCTATGCATCTCTCTTTCTTTTCTATCCCACTTCAAAAGACCAAAACAGCCACAGGAGATGGCTGTTCAGGACGAGTCTGTTTCTGTCCAATGTTTCTCCCGTTAAAATTAATTGTTTTCTTGTCACTGTTATTTTGCTAAATGTTACCAAGTGCTGGACTCAGAGTGCATAGATGTTGTGATATAGCAAAGAGTACAGGCTAAATCTCGTCTTTATGTAAAGTGTCTTGAGATAACATCTGTAATGAATAGGCTTCCAAAATGAAAATGGATGGATTGATTCATTTGATTTTGTGGGGAGGCCATTGAACCACCCAGTGAATTTTCTAGAGGACTGCTGTTGTGAGATTGAACTAAGCTTTACCTGTTTGCGCATTATATCCATAGTTTGCATGATGCAGCGAGGCATGAGGCCATGGTTTCGGGCTAAGATCATCGCCTGTTCCAGTGTCACACTTAGGGTACATCTGCAAAAAAAACAAGAAAAAAACAAGAAAAGCAAAAGGTGAGCTCCGTGTGGACCTTTCTAACAAACACAGTAATATGACACTCCATATTTGCAACTGCTGGACACCTCAAGGTAAAAACGTATCCAGACAATGAGGCCCAGCAGCACTTTGAAGAAGTCCAGTGGAGCATGTCATCCAGTCTGTCTGCCCTGTGTTAATCTTTATTGCAGCTGACAGTCTGGTGATACAAAACAAGCAGTATAATGTAGTTGGCTGACCTCTGCATGCCTGTAGCACACATGGTGATGTGGCACGCTCCCAGGCGGTTACACAGCTCAGAGGAGACGCACAGCACGCTCACACCTGACGGGTGACCCTGAGCGCTCTGGCGCACGTTCACGTAGGACTGCATGAGTCGACACAGGTCGTCCAGGGTGTTGAGAGGTCGCAGCAGCTGTGTGGGAGAGACAGCAAAGGTCAGAGAGGGTCAGGGATTTAATGGACTTCTGAAGTGATGATACAATGGGATATCACAGGAGTGGCCATTTTAACAAGTCATTTCAAGCATCGACTGTAGAGTAAGTCCCTGTGTCCAACTAGAGTTTTTCTGGGCAGAAAAGCGCTGGCTGAACGCCCGGGAGTGTTTGCATGAAACGTTTATGCGCTGAGAAGAAAAGCGCTGCACGTCTGTCTTGTCTCTATGGCAACAGTTAGTTGACAATGGCCCCTGTATGACCGACACGGCTCCGTTACTTTTTACTGCATGTTTTATAACTGAAATCCGTAGGAGGCTAAAATACCGGGAATATCATACATTTTGAAAAGAGCGCCTTTCTGAAAAGTTGAAACATTTTCAACTTGAGCGCTCGAAGCGGACGCACAAAAACGACAGATTGTTGTAAAAAAAATGCCGGCTGCTGCGCTTTTCATCCAGGCGGCTGCTTTCTGCTGAGCTCTCTCCTCATTGAAAACAACTGAAAAAGACGCTGGCGCTGAGAAAACAACGCTAGCTGAACACGGGGCCTAAAAAGTTACTCGTTTCCTATTATTCATTCGCATCTGGCAATTTTCTAAAGATAAATTCCAGAATAACAGCAAGAGCAGAATTGAGAATTGAAGAACAATAAAGTAATAAATATAAGAAATCAATAGACTGGCTGACTTGTTAAGATGGAGCAACTTTATAATTAAAGAGAAAAACAAAACAAAGAGGTTGAACTCTTTGCAGCCTTTTCTTTTGAAGAAGGTGAAAACATGTGAATGAAACTCTACAAATTGAAACTACTGTGTTTTCTAATCAGCTTTAATCTATCTACCGTCATTGTCTGACACTATTGTTTAGTTTTTTACTCTAATCGTTGCTGGAGTACAAATGGAAGCAGTAGAAAGGATTACACGTAAAATAAATAACATGTTGAGGTTAGTTGGGGTTAATGGGGGTCTCGACCAGCTAGTGAAGGGGGGGGAGGGGGTCCAGTGGAGGTAACAGGACACCAGATCATCTTACTTTTGAAATGCTCGGTCGAAGGTCTCTAACTTCAAGGCCCAGTATCTGTGCTTGCATTTATATTTAGTCAAAACATTATATAAAAAGTGGACTTATGTCACAAGCACAGGTATCATAGAAGCAGTACATGGATCATATATCACAGGCGATGTATATTTACCTGGTCTATCTTCATGGCTGTGGTGTTGGAGTCTGTAGGGAGATTGGACTTCTCCAAATAGAAAGCCCTGTTAGGACGAGAAACATATCTATTTCAGTTTGAAAAACTCACCGTCGTGTTTAGAAATGTAGAGGTTGTTCTCCTGTGACTCAGTCTGTGCGAGAGCTGAGTCACCCAGAGCACTTCACTTTATAGAATATGCATCTGCTACAGTACATACTGTATCCCATCATTTATTGATGTTGCATGAGTCACTGGACTAAGCGTGCAAGTATCAGAAACCTTAAGCGTAATGACGGGCTTTAAAAAAGAACATGAATATAAATTAAGGGGAAATGAAAGAAAGGATTAAGGTCAGCTCTGAAAATCTGAACTTCATCAAATTAAAGGTTTTTGTTTTTTTTAAAGCTCCTGTGAGGAGTTTATAGATGGTTTTAAAACAGACTGAATACTTAATACTGATGTCTCTGTATGACCTGTAAAAGCAAATGAGACCATCAGCGACAAGATCAATTATTTCCATGTTGTTATCTTTAATGCCTGAAACCACCGCGGCGGGGTACGTTAGCGACAAAGTGAAAACTGACACTGACTTTTATCATTTCCAATAAACCCTAATGAGATACATTTGACTGCATAGTAAGCAGGTTGAAATATTTTGTATATTACTTAAACATGTAACGGACAAAATTAGCAAAGAAATAAGAAGAATTGCTTTGTCCACAGGGGGCGCCAAAATCAACGCAAACCAAAAGTTCCTCAGGGGAGCTTTAATTATAACCATAATAATAAGGTTTAAATGTAAGCACATTACTTTTCTTAGCATCTTGTCTTTTACATATTTTATTAAAAATTATGATAACTTTTTAAAAGCGAGATGAACAAATAATAAAAGATTAAAAACCACAGTATACGCATGCTGATGTGTTAGTTACAACAGATCTTTATGTGCCATCAGCTGGAACTAAACCAGCCTCTCTTGCAGCAAACTGAATCCTCCCAGTGGGTGTGGGACTCTTTTCCAGATGGGTCTTGATAAATGATACGCCTCTCACCTTGAAAAACTCCAAAACCTTGAAAACACTTGGAGTCAAAGTAAAAACAGCAGTCGCAGCGTAGTTTCTGCTGGCTTATGCAACACCAGAGGGTGAGCTCTCCCTTTAAGGTGAAATCTATCCTGAGTGTTAGTGAGTAAGCCGCTGGAGGGATTTGATGCAGTGTAGCATACAGACCTGAGTTTGCGGTAGTAGGCCTTGACCCGCTCTAGTGAGACCGCGTTGGTGCGCTGCTGGAACTCCTCCATGGCTGCGTAGTCCTGCTGGGACACTCCCTCCGGACGCTCGAGAGCTGGATGAAACACACAGGAGGCATCAGGATCAACACACATTGGCACACAGATTACAACACTAAACTTTAACCCTCATGCATTTTAACAACATAATAACCCCTACATGAATATGCAAATAGCTCTGATGAAACCTCCGGACAGCAAATGTTCCCCTAAATCCATAAGCATAACAATTAATAACTAAATTAAACCTTAAAAAACAGAAAAGGATTGCTTATAATGTCCTCACTTTAGAGATATTTTGTCAGGCCTATGATGACGTATGATGCTGAAAAATATGGCAACACACTCCTACACAAAAAAAAACAGCATTACTTTCCCCAAGCCTGCAGTGAGGACTATTTTCCAGTAGGTGGCAATGTTGAGCCATATATCTTAACAGCTGAACAACTCTAAGCCTCTGTTGCAGCATTTTGCTTTAAGTCAATGAGAGCAATATAAACTCTATTATTGGGTTAGTGTTCCAACTGGCTCTTGTCAGTGGAAAATAAAAAAGGCTGTTTGGCAAAGAGACGTGATGCATAATGCTGTTCATTCATGTCAGGCCAGCAGAGACTGATGGAGAATTAGAGGAGCATGGCAGCAGAGGAGAACGTAAAGCAGGGTACGTTTAAACGGCCAATAAAAGGCATCAATCCAACTTAATAGGAGCACATAAAACTATCAGCGAATGTGTTTTTATGAGAGACAGAGGCTAAAATTGATTTAAAAAAAAAAAAAAAGAAATTTCAAAGTATAGTGTATGTAAGTGATTTTCATGTCCTCTGTGTTCAATAAAACCCTCCCAGAATGTAACCCTTATAACCCTTCTGATGTGATGTGCATGCAAACCTGATTTTAAATCAGGCACTGCATCATCTGAACCATACATTTTTACACATTTAACTAAAATTCTTTATGACGCTAATAAAGCTTGCCTACATGCCCGACAACCCGTTCTCAGTTTTCTCCTCTCGGCCCGGTCTTACCTTTGGTGAAGAGGATGGTGTGGAGCTTGAGGCTGCCTCCGTTTTGTAGTCGACTGGGAAGCTCACTGAAGTGACAGCTGTCCAGGTACAGCGTGACCCTCAGGGCCTGTCGGCTGCCCTCCACCTGGTAGCACACTGGTGTGTCTGCAAAACACAAACACAGACAGGGAGGGGTATTAAGAGGATTGTTCTGCTGTACTATTGGTTGTTTGTGCGACTGAAAAAAGAAACATGTGAGAATGAAAAAGGCCTGTGATGTGAGCATTACAGAGAAAAGACAAAGGGTCACCTAACCTCTCTTAACATGTATTAAAAATATCTTTACTAAATCTAAATAGCTTCAGTCTTAAGTAAATTTACACTCCAGGTTTCCAGATGGCATTATCATAATTTAAATAGAAAAGAAACTTAAACTTAATTCATTAAAGTTACTGAGAGAAATATGAATATGTAGCAAAATAACTTAAGAAACTTGTGGTTGTATTGGATATACTTTTTGAATTGGGTTTAACATTTCATTCATTCAGGTTTTCACCATGCAGTGAGGATTTCTCTGACAAATTTCCCGACAGTGTTGGTCGGCAAATATTTGGGACAAATGACCGACCATACAATCAAAGGCAGAATTGCTTACAAGCCATTCATTAGATCAGTAATATTTAACATTTATTGAGTCCCTTTCTTGAATCCCATCTACAAATCACATCAATACATACTGCTAAAGGCAAACTGAGTCAGCCAAGCCTGCAACCAGCCAATCACAGGGAAGTGACCATGCCATTGGAAACAGCAATGTTGTAAATTTAGTCTAAAGATTTAAGCTTAATGTCATATTTCAAGCATGGATAAATAAGTAATAAATTAACAATCAAGTTCTATAAGTTACATTACTTTGCTGAATTACTCATGGTCTTTTATCCAATAACTAGTTATTCTTAATACCTTTAAGAAAACTACTTTTGAAATGTTAAAGAAATACCTTTCACAGTTCAAGAGTAACCATCAACATGAAACATGCTGCTGCATTAGAAAGCAGTACCAATCATGAATATAAGTCATCATAATATGTTTCCACACTTCATTTAAGTAAATGCAAAGAACTTGCTGTGTCTGCAGCATTGCCTTAGTTTTGCAAAGTGTACAGTGATAGGAAAAAGGTACTTAAGTTCATAAAAATCTTCATCCATGGTAATTAAAAATGCATCATGTTGATTGACTGTGTAATGTTTAAACCTCTGCACATAAAACAACTCTAGTTTTAAGAACAGATGTTGTTACTGTATCACCTGGATTCAGAGGGGAAACCTTTTCAAAACCTACAAACAATACATGAATAGTAATCAGTGAGGAGTCTTGTGGCTCATGGTGATTTCTCAGAAAATGGATATGATGACCTTTACAGCGTGACCTCTGGGGTCAGTGCTCTTTTCCAGACAATCCATCGAACTATAATCCTGTGAAAATGGCTCTGCCGCTCTAGGCTGAACTCAGGGTCCTCCAGCTCTTACAAGGCTCTTACAAGACTCTTACCTCCCCTTATCTAGTGAAGCCCCCCAGCATGCTTAAGATGCTATTAGCAAATCAATACTGCCCAATAGATGCTGCTGCCACAAACCATCTACCTGCACTGCAGCAGTCTGAGCGTGAAACACAACTTCAGCATATGTTTTGTTATTCAGATTTATTTTACAAATTTGTGCTCAATAAATGAGTATGTTAACAGCAAATTGCTGCAGTGTGAACCCCGTAAAATCCCCGCTTCACCCAAAGCTTCCCCCCTTAAAATGGGAAGTGCGTGATGTGCTTTTCCTTTGAGCTGCAATCTCTGCCGCCCATATTGAGGCTTCTGAAAAGAGAACTGATTCAGGATGCATCATCCTTTGTATCTGCCGGCTTTAAGGCTTCTGGTAGCCTGCAGCACCTTCACTGAATACAAGATACTGATGTGATTAGAAGGCACAAACACCCCAGGGTCCTAAACTTTTTTACACATGGTCATGTCAGGATTTTACACAATGCGCACAATGAATGATCTGTGTGCATCCTCAGCGCTGCTTACTCTGAAAGAAATGCTCCAACGTTCAGCTGCAGGACAGAAGGAATGCTAAACTACACTTTTCATGCTCCAAAAGAATATTCACCAACCACTTCAGCACATGCTGCATTTGGTGCATGAAGATTAAAAATGTGTTTTCATGTCAGTATGAAAAGAATCTAAATGTTCTATTTGTGCATATTTGTGGGAGGTTTCAAACACCTTGCAAGGAAAAGCATGCAGTAAGTTAGTTAGTTACCCCTGCCTATATTTTCAAAATCGAACAAAATGTGTGGAACTAGTTGAATTTATCTGTCACTCTTTTGAAAAATGGACTGATGCCCAAGTAACCTTTGTAATACCACACACAGAGGCTACAGTCGATGTGTCATCGAACGATGCTGTGTCTGTATCTGCAGAAGCGAAACCTATCCTGCAACTTTTGGAAGATATAAATATCCAAAGAGAAGAGGGGTTTGTGATGCTCTGTTTAAAATCTGTAACATAGTTAGAAGGAAATGTTTGACTTTTAATATGAAAGGATCATAGCTGCAAATCAACAACAAAAAAAAAAGTTATTCAATTAAATGTTACAAAATCAAAAGAAAAGAAAACTCTGCTGAAGGGTCATTACGCCTTTTCCTTCGTGCTATATGTGTCAGTGTTTCATGCGCGTTCAGAGCAGCACAAAAGGTCACTTGAAACCCCTCACAGCCCGTCAGGAAGGAGCCTTCTTATCTTGTATAGAAGGACAACGAGGACTCTAACAGACTTCAAGCTCTGCTCTTGTTAAAGATGATTTATGGAGCCATTGTAGTTTTGTTTCAGCTCTCTATTCAGTCACTCTACTGAAAAGAAAATCAAATCTGCAACGGCATAAATGTCAATTTCACCCTCAATAGCAACCATACATGCACATAATGGAACTTTATTCAGAGTTAGTGAAACCATACAGCTGCTCATGATCAGCCGTGTGGTCTGAATGGCTCGAGTCAGTCTTTCTTTTTTTTTTTTAATAGTCTCTTACTTGCGACTAGAAACTCGTCTTCCAGTTGCCTGAAGAACACAGTGACTTTGTCCAAGTCCAACAGGGCGGCCTTGGTGTCTTCCAGCATGGTGCGCTGCTCTTTCTGCAGGAGGAGAGAGAAAGAAAGCTCAGAGGTCACACCAGGGAGAGGGGTTTGTTTGTTTTAAGACAGCTGGATATGTGGTTAAAAAAAAACTAAAATGACCCTGAACATGTTTTCAAAGTGGATATAAGAGGGCAGACACACATGATGATGATTGCTTAAAAGTGCATCAACTTAATACGTCAAACTGATGTTCTTCACTAAGTAGAACTGTATTAGAACAGGATTCCTTAAATGGTGGCACTAAATACCCATCCTCACCAGGTGTGGCGCTAGCGTAGATTGGAAGTGCAACAGAACGCCGATGGCAGAAATCTGCTCCAGCCACTTCCTACTGGTCTCCTTGCCGTCTTCCTGGTACTCGCCGGCGTTGTTGAACCGGGATCGCAGCGCCGCCAACAGCTGCTCGGCCAGCGTGCACAGGGCTCCCGTCGCTGCCTGGCAGAAGATCACATCCCTTCGCAGCTGTAGAGACGTGTCTGATGTTGAGGGAAGGTAAGAGGGGAGAGATGTTGATGTCAGGGTAGGGATGGAGTAAGTTCAAAAGTGTAAGGCAGCCCAACCTCCCTCATTACACGTGTACTACTGGAGCTGCTCCAACACACAGACTTTATTCCATTAGCTCGTCTCCCCTGAGAGGATATCTCCCATTAACCAGCACCATCTGCCACTGGGTTCACTTCAAAGTGACTGGAGCATCATGTGTTTTGACACCAGCCCTCATTCCTGTACAAACATGCAGAACAACTGGCCACAGTCTGGATCTGATCCTGATCTGGGATAATAAAAAACATGCTTTTTAAAAAAAAAAATATATAAAACTTGACTTGAAACTAAATATAGGCAAACATCTGCTTGATCTGTTTGCAATGAAGCTGTGATGAAAGAAATGCTTATTTTGGCTTCCCTATGCAGCATGTGACAGACAATGTTTTAAAACTCACGTGACAAACTGAAGTAATAGAGAAATGGAAACACGACTTCAAAAATGTTTTTTAAAAAAGCCCCAGAAACCACATTTCTGACATTTTAAATAAATATTTGAGATGCAATTCAATCATCTTTGAAGCTGTTTTAAGGTTCTGCAGATGTCCTGGTGAAGCCTGGCTGTATTTTCATGTGATGGATGATCTCATTAGCAAAAAGTTCAAACTGTTGGAATCATTTAAAATACTTCGATCATGAGGCTTTTCCTGCTGCTTAAAACCAAAGTCAGCTGAGTGATTGCACGGCCTGTCTGGCCAATTTATGCAGTCATTTAATGGAAAATTAAAACTGCGTTGTGTTTAGGTTACTCGCCACGCTCACTCTGATCATGAACTGGTCTCTATTCTCTTTAACAAAGTTTCTGTACCTGTGCACTTGAGCAGAGCAAGGAGAAGCTGGTTCCTTCCATCTGTGGAGGCAGAAGAAAAACCAGGTGAGATGACTGATTGTAACCAGATAGACGTTACATAAATGCTCTGCATGTGTTTTTAAGATGTTTCACTGACCATCCACATATCTCTGCAGGCTCTCCACCAGCGTTTTGATGGAGGTGGGCAGGTTCCAGGGGTCCTCCCCGATGTTCTTCTGAATCATGTAACGACTACGCATGGTCCAATCGTCTGTTTGTCGGAACTCTGCATAAAAAAAACAGGAAAGTGTTAGTGTGTGTATCTGCTGAGTGACTGTTTTGTTAACTGTTAGTTCTACCTAGACGACCTCTAACCTCTCAGAAGGTAAACACACGAACAGTATGCACACACAGAGGAATGAGCAGAAGTAGATATTAGTTCACTAAATGTAATGTTACATTGTTTAGCAGCTTACTGGTAGTTGGTTGGTGATTAAAGAAGTTATATAACTTATGTGACATTTTTTGGTTTAGTAAACAATTTTTGGCAGCTGCTGCTTCTCTACTGTCAAAAAGCCCCTTTGACAAGTCCCGCCCCTTTTTCTTTCATCCTGACCTCTCTGAATGCATGCCCTGGCAGTGTCTGCATCACAAGGTGCACATGTATTTTTTCAATAAACTCAATCAAGGACCTTTTCTGTCATTTATTTTGACATCATTACTTTTCATATTTACTTTGTAAGTTTTTTACTTTTTGATCAGAGAAGTCTGAACTGTTTCTGTCCAGTAACTAAATCTAGTTATCTCCCTTGAAAGCTTCGCTGTATTTCAACTTTCAACAGGAAAGTAGAAATCTGTCTATCTGGATCAATGTTTGAATCAAGTGGTCGTTGATTCCATGTAATGGATATAAAATCTAAAATCTAATCATCGCGTTTTCAGCTTATACTTCCACTGGAATGGCTTTCTCATTATTTGAAATGGCATTTGACTTTATCTAATGTTCATTGAATGACCCTGAACTGAACTGAAACCTTGTTGTTTTTAAGGAAGACTTTATGAAAAAAGAAAATATTATAAATGATGAATGATGAACAGCACTCCCCATGCACAGCCAAACCACGTACTCAGTTGCAGGAACAAACAAATAAAAAATTAAATAATCCACTGCATACTGAAAATCTCTTTGTTGTGAGCGAACATCATGTTTCCTCAGGTTCGCCCGGTTTGCTCACAAAAAAAGTCAGAGTGAATTTGAAGTCTGCAGCAGATTATCTCTCCCCTAAGCCGATGGTAAACTTTAGTGATAAAGAATCAATATTGTATAGTATGCTTGCTTTGAAATGATCTTCTCCAACCTGGTTGGGTGTTGTCAGGGTAAAAGTGTTTGGTCTCCTCACAGGCTTTCATCATCACAGATCCTTTGAGTAGGCTGTTAATGGAGTCAACCTGAGTGCAGAAAGACGAGAACACACACACACACAGAGAGAGAGAGAGAGAGAGAGAGAGACAGAGAGAGAGAGAGAGAGAGAGAGAGAGAGAGAGAGAGAGAGAGAGAGAGAGAGAGAGAGAGAGAGAGAGAGAGAGAGAGAGGGGGGGGGGGGAGAGAGAGAGAGAGGGGGGAGAAAAATTGTCAGTTAATCACTCAGGGCTTTGAGTTTGCTAAATCTTTCATTCTCAACACATGTATTTCTGTGTAATTCAAACACAACATGCACAAATACAACAACACACAAAACTACTGCAGCAGCCCCTGGCGAGGGTCTCTCAGCATTAACAACAACAAGGCGTTTGTTTTCAGCCCCCCTGAACAGCTGTTTACATGTGGAAAGAACTAAAGAAGAAGCCACAAAAGTGTGTGCATCCCACTGGTAAGAGGAGATGAAAAGACGGATGGAGGTACCTGAGCAAGCCTCTGTGTGTGTGTGTGTGTGTGTGTGTGTGTGTGTGTGTGTGTGTGTGTGTGTGTGTGTGTGTGTGTGTGTGTGTGTAAGTGTGTGTATATGTGATAGAGAAAGCAAGGACGTCAGTGAAAGATGAGAGACAGAGAAATAAGGATATAAGGATCCTGACCAGAGGACACAGAGCTCCATGAGGTAACTTAGCCCAGATGTTGACTGATTACTATCAAAATCATCTGCTCCACATGGTTTGGCTGTACTGAAGGTGGTTTAACACTGACGTGTGTATGTGTGTGTGTGTGTGTGTGTGTGTGTGTGTCTTTATGTTTCACTGTTTTTCTTCACTATGAGTCTACAGTTAAGAAATCTCTGTTATGGCTCACTTCTTCCAAGGTTTGCTTTTGGAATCGTGCTTTGTTGTTTTGCAGAGAATCCATCATGAAATAAATTCAGCAGTCACTCTAAACTGAACGGCAGAACTAACCTGGTTGAAAAGGTGCTCGAGGCAGCCGTGCAGCTTGTCCTGTTTGTCCGAGGGAATCCTCATGTCACAGGGCAACTCGTCCCCTAGCAGCCAAAAAAATGACCAAACAGAGAAATCACACATTTGAGGAAACCAGTGCTGATTCTTAATCGGCTGTTAGAATAATCAGACATGTTTCTTTTCATCTTTTTTATGCAAATTCTGATGAAAAGAAATGAAACACAAGGCTTTAAGTTATTTCATTAGAAGGTCTCATTGTGTTCTCATAAAGACTAAACGCTTAAAGTGATAAACAGCAGCGGACACATACTTGGCTCAGGACACAAATATGTGCCAGACGGGTTATGAAATTTAACATCTGACTTCTTAAAATATCTTCAGCATTTTTGTGTTTTGCCGTTGTGAATGGACGCCATATGACTGACATTAACACAAACCAAAGTGGGAGCACATTTTGGCTTCTGATCAGTCCTTTTTACAAACAACCAATATTTTGACAAACAGGAAGGATTCATTTGCTTCAGTTTGGGTTGTTGTTTATGTGGAATTCCCTTTACAGTGCTGCCTGTGAGGACTGAAGCACAAATCTTCAGATGGTTTGACAAACTTATTGTCTTACTAAAAATCAGCTTGGTTTTAAAAAGATATCACTGTGAATAAAACCCAAGTAACAAGGTAAATGCCCAACATAAATATCCAAAAACCATCCAAATTTTAAAGGAGCAGTATGTAACTCTGACACCTAGTGTTTAAAATGGGTACTGCAGTCCAAATTCAAAACATTATAGAGAGCTGTCTCCCCCCGCCCCCTCCTCTCTAGAGTCGATGCTCACGCACGTTGCCATGTGGTGGACACTGAAGCTTCAGTGTTTAGCCAGCTCTGCATGGGTCTGTAAACCTTTAAGTTGTTAGAATCAGTTCTATCTGAACGCTTCCATTGCTGTTTCCTTAATGTGATGATATATTCAGTAGATATCTTACATGTTGCTCTTTTAATTACATTATGTAGACAGTAATACAACAACAGGAACAAGGAACAACAACATCTTCTACTTTAATTCAATAGATGTCATCTCTACTTGTTTTTTATTTTTCAGAATTGCATAGACCCGATCAGATGTGACTTTTCTTCTGACCTTTAACTTTAAACTTTAGACGTTTTCTTATTGTATTTCTATAAAATGGTTTTAGATATGTGATCGTTTTAAGTATGTCTTTTGTTATAGATTTGTTGTGTTACTATCAACCCTCTATATATTGTTTTACAGCTCTTATAGTTGAGTTATTAATTGTTTTTGGTTGGTTTGGATGGTTAACCACACCTGTAATTACAGAGCTTACCCGCCTCTTGGCGTGCTTTTTTAAACATTACACTGACAGTGACACAAGTGGGATCTGTGCTTATTAAAGAGGAAGCATGTCATCAAGGCTATCCTTTTTTTCATTGCATTTATGTGACGTTTATCATTTAAGTCTGCCCTCCTTTGGTTATGGATAAAAGAAAAGATGTTTGAATGAGATGACTTCTTAGCTCTGCACAAGGATATTAACAGATAGACATTTTGTCTTTTCCTTTACCTGATCCCATCTCGTCACTCCCGAGGTAAGAGCTGTTACTCCTCACACTGGTGTAGGACAGCACTGAATCTCTGTTGCTGTTGCATTCGCTGTAATAAAGCACACACACACACACACACACACAGATTGCACACAGTTATAATGTGTTAAAGAGCACAGAGTTCATTCCATTCTTAAACCACAGAGAGAATTTTGGAAAGCTGCGTCTTGTAATTATGCTGCCAAATAATCCTTCTGATTGTAAACGCCTCTTCTGATTTACAGTATGTGAGACCGAAGGTAATTAAATGTTTCTCACAGCAACAAAACCGCCACTGGTTTACACAGAGAGGCGTTCCCTGAAACGTAGCTGCATCAGAGTCTCAAACATTAGACCAGATAATAAAAGCATATTTGACACTGACACACTGAAATGTAGCTCACCTACTTACATAAACACATGTTGTTGTTTTTTCCAGTGCTGCCAGTGTTTGTCAATGTTTTTCTTTAATCTTTGGTTTGCGGAGAAGTACAACTTTAAAATTACATAGTCTGGTATTTATAGTCATACGTCTATGTGATTCAACATGATTACCGGGAGCATGTGGAAGATTTATGTGGCTCAAATTATACATCCCTTCTAGTGAGTGTGCTCGCTATCCCCTCAGAGGAATGATTCACGGGCTGAATTTCCATGACAAATGGCCTACGAGCGACTACTAGCTTCAAAATGACAACACCGGCTTTGTCCTTCTTTGCCACTACCCAGCTTGGCAGGAGGACAAAGTCAGGGAGTAGGGAGGGGGATATCACCTGCCGGGTTATTCTGCCGTCTCTAAAAGTGTGTGCATGTGTGTGTGTGAATGTGGGTTTGTGGTGCTGAGGGGGGATTTGGCTAAGCCAGAGCTGCTACAATTATGGGGAGAGAGTTAATAGAACCATCTTTTAGTAGTTTGGCTTCCATTCTGAGCTGGCTTGATTTCACACAAACGCCATGTCACACTCACACTAATATGTGTGTGTACAGTAGTAAATACAGGCAGGTTTTTTGTCTCTGTACTCTTTCCCTCCACCTACTTCTCCTAATCACACCGCCCATTGTTTTCCTTTTTATTTGTTGCCTAATATACACACAATTCCCTCTCTCCATGTGTCCTGGATCTCTCCCGTTTTTGGCTGCTACTGCTCCGAGTTTGTGTTTTTGTGTGTATCTCGAGACATACACAACAAACACACACACACCTACCACTAGCGCACACATGCACAAACACACAGGAGGTGATTTCCAAATTTAGCCAAGCACCTCCTGCCAAAAGTGTGAGTACCACTGTGACAATTATCCTGACTGTGGTGGAAGAGCTGGCTTCAATCTTAACCGCACACACACACACGCACGCACACGCACACACACACACGCACGCACACGCACACACACACACGCACGCACACGCACACACACACGCACACACACACACACACACACACCCTGTTCACACCCACATTCTAATGTACCCTGGTTGATGTATTCACAGCCCTGAGTACAGGTGACAATGTGCTCACACTGAGAAGACATCCTGTGTGTTTACACAGAACTCATTACACTGAATTCATTTTCATACTTTCTAAGAATGCAGAAATGTCGTTTTCACACTCGAGAAACAACACAGAAAATGATACAATTTATTTTTGCATGCAGACTAAAACAGCTTAAATTTCCAGTGTGTTGTAGGTAAGGTCCTTGCTTCACCTGTATTCATTTCCTGGACGGTCTGATCACAAGTGTACAGTTTTAAGTGCAGGTGTAAACACACCAAAGATGCACTGAGGATGAATTTAGATCAGGTCAACCAGACCACGTTCAGAGGTGGTCTGGGATGCACTCCTTTAGCAGTGGGTGCATGTTTGTGTTTTGGGCAACATTGAAGGACCCCCAACTCTTTATAACCAGGGCAACGATGTTCTTGCCCTATTCATCACTTCTCCTGTGTCTCATTAAACCATTTTTGTTTTTACATATTTTTCACGTCATTCTAATGATAATAAATGTGTGTGAAAAATAAATGTGTATGATTCAGTACGAGATGATACATTTATTTTTGTGCGTGTAAGATCTGAGATAAGCTCATGTGAGAAGTGAAAACAGGAACTGGGTCTGTTGGACTCTTGTTTAAGGAGAAAGAATACTATTTTTAATGTGAAGCCACAAACAGGAATCAAACACACACTGTCACTTGAGAAGCTCTCTGATGTCAGGAATGAGCCGGTACCTGTCTCTGCATCTGGACACGAGCTACACAGAGCTAAATTAAGGACAGATGAAATGTACCCAGGTTTAGAAACAAAGACAACCAGACGATGATTTCCTCACACACTCTTCTTTCCTAAGTTTCTGTCTTTGACCCCCTGTGTGTGTGTGTGTCTGTGTGTGTGTGTGTAGCAGCAGTTCTCCTCTGTTCTTGCTCTAACATTTTGTTCCTCACATGCTGTACTCTACAGTGACCTCCGACTGCTGCGCTCTGCTGCGCTCTGTCACCACCTACGGCTTAAATGTCTTACTCTCTTATTCTGTCACCACCTGCCTCGAGAACGGAGTAACACTTTTCCTATTTTGATCCAAAACTTCACAGCAGGATGATTCATCCTTATTCATGGTGCAGCCTGATCCGGCTGCCTTGAAAGGACAGTTCACTTTTTATTTTTTTTATGTGCACTGGGCTTTATTACTCTGAGTGTGTGTGTGTGTGTGTGTGTGTGTGTGTGTGTGTGTGTGTGTGTGCACCACATATATTACAGCCTACATTTTCCTAAACATTTTATTGCGATGAGGTATTTGCCTTTCACATGGCGTGGCCGGGGCCTTAATGACAGAGTGGGTGAGGAGGCCGCGCCCCAAACATTTGGCTTTATTATACACCAGCCCACCACACCAGCAACCAATAACTATATCTTAGTGGGTGGTGGAGGGTGAGGCTCGGTGGAGGGCTGCCCAGTGAACCGTGCACACACAAACTCTCCCTCACACACACACACACAGACACACAGACACACACGCACAGAAACATATGAATGAACTCACAACAAGCGAATGACATAACCAGATCTGACCAAAACATTTTGAAGACATTTTTAGCGCTCCATCTCAAGGAAAAATACCAACATCTGGGAAGATTTGTAGCCTCCTCTTGGGGGGGGGGGGGGTAATGAGCAGCGTTATGGGTTTTCAGAGCGAACTTTGAGTGTTATTTATGTTTTATAGAGTCCAAAGATAGATTATCCAGGTGTGAGCGAGGGAGTCAATTCTAACTTTTTGTGTTTTATAAAGATGCTGCAATACGAAGAGGTCTTTCCTATGAGGAAAGTGAAACAAACAGCGTATGAATTTGTTATTTGCTTCACTAACCTTCACAAAATCACAGTAAGCAGTTACACAACACTGGTTGCAAACTTGGTGAGTCAACACAGGGCTTCCTGATCTGGTCAGCACATAAAAAGGGGGCCAATGTTTGCATCATACGACCGAATGCTAACATGGACATTCTGCAAGCAGAGCAGCTTAATGGACAAAAGAAGAGCAAACTTTAAATACTAGACAAATATGAAGGGGTTAGACACATAATCCAGGCTTAATGCATCACTGCTGGAGCTGCCAAATGCAGGAAGGACAGGCAAAGAAATCAATGTAAACTAAGGATTATGATATCACTGCCCCGTTCATCAGGGCACAAGCAGATCAGACTACAATTACAAGTTTTGAATCCAATTACATGATTTGACGCCTGCAAATCTTTTACACTGTCTTTCATATCTTATGTTTACAACTAGTGCAAGGCTTTAGTGATTCAATCAGCCTCAGGTGCAGGATGATTGGATATGTCTCTGAACCCTCTGGTGTGAATTTACAACCGTACACTTACCAATTAAAAATAAACACTCTCTGTAGCGGGGTTAGGTGTGCAGCCTAAACACGTTGAAGCAGTTACTATTGTGTGACACCCAAGACGCTGTGGCCCTGAACACACAGGGTTTACTCTGACTTCAACTTGTTAACTTCTTCAATAAAAAACATTCACTCTTCTTCATACCAGCCAGCTAGTTCAGTAAAAAACAAATCCCAGTGTGCCACTGAATTGTTCAATTCCAGGCGTCCTTGTCTAAAGTTTTAACCTCAACTGTAGCCCTCATCTTAAGCCTCCATTAATCATGCTGAACCATTACCTGTAGGAGTCTCTGTAGCTCATCGTGTCATGACCCGAGTCCTCCTGGTCCTCCTCGTTCACCTTGAAACAAACACGCTTGATGCCGCCTTGCTCCACTTTGTCCTGGTCACAGCCGTCCTCACAGGGGGCCAGGGAGGGGGGCTGACTGGTCTCGTACACCGGAGGCTCCCCACCCTCACCTTGGAGTTGTGTGGGTTCGGTTATAGACGACAAGAGGCTGAAGGATTCATAAGAGGGAGTAAAAACAAGGATATTAAATTATCACTGTGACAGGTGAGACTAAAACATATATTACTGTTTACAGTGCAGGACAACGTTGTGGAACATTTCTTGCAGAGAAATATATATGTGGAATAAAATTCACGTCATAATTCTAGAAAACTACAATGATTATATTTATGTTATAATACACTCTCTCAGAACACAAACACTCTCATCTATTCCTCCACGCTGTCACTCCCCTCCCTCGACTCAGACGCACAACAAGCATTTCTCTCTCCTGAGGTTATCCCGGCCTCACTGTCTGTTCCTGAACTGGGCCTGGCCCATAAATATTTTGGGCCTGAAGAGTGTTCCTTTTGTAAACCTTCAGCTTTAAACAAGGCAAAGGGCAGACAGACAATGAGCGGCTGACTAACGGCCTCAGGAGGCAGCGTTCAGCTTTTCATGCAGAGATTTCTAAATGTCAATGTGAAGGCTACAAAAATAGTCCTCTAACATATAAACACCAGGGGAATGCCAATATTTGATAACACCGCCAGCTGTTTAACCTGAAAATACTTTCTGACGGGATAGGAATAATCATTTCTTTTCATTTGACAGATGACTCATTGGGGATTTATGAGAAAAATAATTCTTTAAAATGAAGATCAAACTGTTTAATCACATAAAGTCTAACCTAACTGTAACACTTACACGTCTATTTGAGCGACATACTGCCTCATCTCCCTCACAGCAACATCCAGGCGGCTGTACAAGTGAATGTAGTTATCCTGGGTGTCTGTGTCTTCCTGTTTGAGCAGGAAGCTCAGCCCGCCTTCCTCATGGAAACTCTGCCGGCTGTCATTCAAGCCCTCGCCTCCATCCATGGTCACCTCCCCGTTCCCATCCACCTCGTCTCCTTCCAGGCCCGAGCACTTCCAGGAGGGCGCTCCCATACTCGTCACACAGTGCTGCGTGTGGGACATGGGGTTCAGTTGTGCTACGGGAGGGGAGGAGAGGAGAGGAGAGGAGAGGGGGAGAGGAGAGGAGAGGAGAGGAGAGGAGAGGGGAGGGGAGGGGGGATATAAATATGTTTGCAGTTGTGAATGAAACAGAGACACAACACTATAATATATACTCCAGATGTTTCAAACCGTATGAGGTAATGCTCTTGTGTGTTCCCTATTTAGACTCGATGAAAAACAACTTCTCAAAGGGCACTTCTGCAACTGATATGCACGGCGGGAGCAGGATGCAAAACTGTTATCTTGGGTTGAATGCCAAACTAAGCTGCAATAACCTGAGACGTCCCAAAACAACCCAAAGATTAAGTTCCGTCAATGAACTCAGAGTATATGCTTCTAGTTTACTCCAAACGTAACGATTTAACAGACGAGCTCTTTTATACAACGATCAAAATAAATCATCATCTTCATGAGAATTTCACAGTTTGGAGGTCAGAGAAATAAAAGAAAATAGACCTGATTGAATCTTCTAAGGGGATTAGGAGCTACAACTCCTTACAAGGATGAAGAAGACAATCTTAAATGTTTCAAACTTTAAAAGTTACTCTCTTCTAAAAGGTGTGAGAAAGATCAGGCAGGTAAACGACAATGACACTTCAGGCTGCCTGAACTGTACGTCACCACCTCTTCCTGTTCCCCTTCCAGAGCTTAACAACATCAAGTCATAATTGCTGCAGGCTGCTTGTATAGAAAACACGCTGAGTGGCACCACAGCTGAACTCTTCATCGCAACAACTGCCAGGCAGATGTGTGACTTGCAGCTGGCTGCTGATAGAAAGATGAAGACGAGGCATCTTGGAACAATGCAGGCTAAATGTCTGCAGTCTAGACAGCTGTGTTGTATTTTCATCTTTGCTGAGATTTGAGGGATTTCAGCAGCCAAGTTGAGACTCTAATAATAAGGCTATATCACAAATAAGTCTGACCATATAAATAGACCACAGTGTACTCTGTTCTTTATCTGAAGCTTTTGTTATGTTTCGCCCTCTCATTAATTAGCACCACAGACTCTCTCCCCCTCTCCTCTTTGACCCTCTGAAGCATCGGCTCTGAGTGAATGGCACACATTCCTACGCTGCGGTGGAGCCACCATCTTTGCTGACATCACTCATCCGCCTCTCATGTCAATAACATGAGTATGGTCTGCAGCTAATGGAGTCTTAATGGCAAACCACTCATCTAATTTACTATGGGAATCCGTGTTGAGACCTTGTGGCTGCTGTGAGAGGCTGGGGACGACATTCCCCTCGATGTGCTGCGGGATTTAAACGGTCATGGAGGGTAATTAGTCAAACTGATCACTGAGCTAGTGTTAAATAGGTTAAGTTTTATTATCATAAAGATGGATGGATCTCCACCGAACCTTAGTTTAAGCGTTGGATATGTGAAAGAGATTGTTTGAATAGTACTTCAAAGATGTTGCGTGCATGTGTGTGTCTCGCTACCTTGGTCGGGATCCAGGCCGAACAGGGAGTTTTTACGTCCGAAGCGGATGCTGAAAGTCCTGCCAGCAGAGGTGATGCTCTTGGGGTAGGAGACCTGCATGAAGTTGACGTGGCAGTTGGTGGGGACAAAGTCCATGCAGCCCAGAGGGTGAGGATGACCACCTGCCTGTCTGAAGGACGGCCACGCCTTATTCCTCAGCTCCTCTGCAAACTAGGTGAAAAAGGGAAAGAATTATAGAAGGAGAGCAGGACACAGACATTTCCCCCCTTTTCACACATGCACTGCACTTCTGATCCATCTGCATGAATGAAAACGTCCTAATGAGTTCAACGAGACACCACAACAGAAAAACAGTCTCCTCTTTAAGAGATAAAGAGCATGACTAAAGCTGTTTTTACACATTACACGCACTCCTGAACATTTCAGGCAGCTGCCCCTGAAATCTTGTTGCTTGTTCTTCACTTCCTGGAATGATGTAAGAAGGATGCACCAAGATGACGGACAAGCCACAGACTCAGACGCTATGATGACAGCGCTTGCTCGTATATAAATCCTATGTGTAATTAGATGTATTAACAACGTAAATGAAAAAGCGGCAAAAATCTAAGTAGAAAACACAATGAAGCAGTTTCATTATGCGTGCAAAGGTCACACAGATCACATCCCTCTCCTGCTTGTTTGTGGAGAATTTTACTGAATATACCTGCTGCATTCACACATCCCCTCAGCCACTCGTGCAGACATTTCACTAGGGGGCTGGTAAGAAAAAAATCTGAGTAAAGTGGGGGAGAAATAAACAGCCTTTTGTGTTCACATGTGCAGCTCATCCCAAGAATCTGAGGACATTTACACACAGTTTTGAACATGTGTGAAAATGGCTTTTGTGTGGTTTAGCTCCTCTGAAAAATTTGAGCTATTAAGACATTTTTTGACTGTGGTATACGATCATCATACATCCAACAACCGCCACGGATCTGACAGGCTGATGTCTATGTGTGTCATGATAAGAGTGTAAAGGTGTGTCTCGGTACCTGTTGATAGCTGCTGATACGCTGTCGGATCCTCTTCAGCTTCGTGTCACAGATTTCTCTGAACTCAAACTGAGGCATGGTGACCACGCGGTCGCTCTGGGAGATGAGCTGGCTGCAGTTATCAACAAAGAGCCTGTCATCGCTAGAGAACGCCTCCAGGATCTGCAGAGACGGGAAACATTTGTAGAGATGTTATCAGCCTTACAATCAAGTTTTGAGGCTTGATTTAGTTTGTTACAATCAAATTTAAAATCTGCTTCTTAGTAGAAGCTGGGGAGTTTTTCCTCAGGCTTTAAACATTCAGCGCTCCAAGACAAACAACCAGAAACAGCAGCTGGGCCAAAACTCTTCAGCGGCTTACAGATTCTGTCATAATAGTACAAATTGAAGAAATATCAGCGAGCAACAAACTGGTTGACCGCCAAGATGGGATTTTCTATGAAACATCAGACAGAGGACACGAACATTTAAGCTATTTTAGCAGCTGTTATACAAATTATCTGCAACATCAAGGTAATAAATAAGATAAAGTAAACCCCTGTGGTCTTTCCTTTGCTCAGTATTTGACTTTAAGTACCTTAGCTGTGAGGCTGAAGCAGCCTTTTGGCTCCACCATCTTCTCCAGGACGTGGCTCTTGATGCCGGCGGTGCTGACGTATTCATAGACGACGCCGTGCTCCAGATGGACGTTATCCACCGTCATGCTGACGAGTGGCAGATCTTCAGAGAGGGAGAGTCTGTCCAGCCGGTGGTCTGGGGGGGCACACATGGAACTTTTCAGAATATACATTTCTCAAGCAATCACAAGAAATGTAAGGACGTTTATTAGTTCATCCAGAAATATTAATATATGAAAGGAAACAAAGTGAGATACTGGTCCAAGACAGCAATCATAGAAAATACAACAATAACAAAAATATGAACTCTGAGAGAACTAAAAATGATGTGTAAAATAATCTATATATTAAAAACATACAGTCGTATCCTGGCAGAATTTGTGATTTTTTTGGCCATTTTTCAGAGAATATGAATGATAATACAAAATTGAAATATGAGAAAAAAAACTCAGTTAGGTGGGAACACAAGCATTTACATTTACTTTGATTTATTCCCTTTGAATAGACTACACACACTGGACCATCTGCAGATATTAGCCAATCACAGTTGGCATGTGCAGATTTCAAACAAAGCTGCAGAAGAAGAGAGCGAGGTTGACATTGTTAACACATCTTCTGCAGGATGTTTAAGAGGGCTGTGACATAAATCATTTAACTCTGTTATCTGCATTTTGATGTCTTTTACCAGTAAAACTTCAAACTAATATCAAAGAAATGTCTTTTAAATGATTGATTGTCCCATCAGTATGAGCTGTGAGAAGCTACTCCTTCATCAAAACAAATTAAAGTGAATCACACAAAAAAAACCACAGAGGTTGAAACATTGCATTTCACCTGTTCCATTCGTGCCGTTCTCCTCATCGTGGTCTGACCCGTTCTCTACAGGATAAGGCGAGAAAGGGCTCTCCTCCTTTTCACCTTCACCTCGTTCTTTTTGTAGCTCCTCCACGTCTTCAAACGCACGATACACCCACTGACACTGAGGGAAGAAGATGAAGGCTGATCAGTCATATTACTGTAATGTGCAAAAAAGGAAGAGAGAAGAAATATGATAAGAGATAAAGGTGAGATAAAAGGGAAGTGCTCGAAAAGGAAACTGTTAAATATAGCTTTAGTCATTTTAAAAACAAAGCTGCAGGAATAGGTACACTTTGAACACAGAATTTGTATTTCTACTTCCCCTAAAGACACCTGACAAAGAAATCTGGCCAGACTGCTTTGCCTCTTAACTCTGAAGTGCAGCGAACCACATCGATAACATCCTGGTATTATATCCTGCTGTTAAATGAACCAGCAAACATTTACTGGAGAAGGTCCAAAATAAGACTGCTCAGCTAAGCTTCTGTAGGGGAAATTTGCAAAAAGAAGAGGCCCGGCTATAAAAACAAAACATTGTGCTTGGTACAGTAGGTGCAGCCGTGCGGGGTACAGCCTGGAGCCAAAGAAGTCGGAACAACCAGACATGGGACTTACAGTTTCAAAACTGGTTATGTAGAAATACACAGCTTAAAATACACCGCTTATTTGTGAGTTTTAATCAGAATTCACTTCAAACATTGTGTTGTTAACGTGTTGCTCAGGGCTAAGTCTTCTCTTCGTGCAGGATTTTATCTCGAGCTGAGAAATGTCAAACTCTCACTACATGTGGCCTGCTGCGACAAAGTGTCAGCCAGCAATTTATGTCAGAGATCACTGGGCCACCCACTGCTGCAGTCAAAGGCGCTGCTAAAGCAAAGAAACCTGTTGCATGATACTTCTTCAGCTATTTGGATATTTAAAAGAACAAGCGTGCTGCAAAATCGATTAATCCTTGAACTTTATGATTCTTGTTTTCCCCCCTTTCAGATACGTATTTGCTAATTCTCCTTAATCTAGCTAATGCTGTTTGACTAGCGTGTCAAGCCAGGAATGTCTGGGTCATTGAGATTCTGTCACTCACCAAATGGGAATTTAGTGAGCTGTCTCATATTGTTAAATGATCTGATAAATTAACCTCGAAACAACCGATGCTAATCAGGCTAACTTGCATGGCTTAGAGATATAGTGGGAGTACTTTGGTAGCCATAGCAACACATACAAAGACTGTAATAACTCTGTGGACGCCATGTACAGAGTGGGACTAAACCTAGATCGATAAAGTGAACCTTATTAAAAATGTGGGCAAAGTTGTATTTCAGCAACATAAAGAGCGACAGTTTAAAGTGACTTTTTTTGTTGTTGTTGCAACTCATTAGCCCGCTTCTTATTTATTTATCATTTGGGTACTTTTTCTCAGCCGTATTTAAGGTGAAAGCCTTTTTTCCAAATAATTTAACTTTATGGAAGAAAATAAAACCTCTGGAAGAGCAGGCTGCGTCATCGTCAGAAGTAGTTTGAGTTTTTTTAATGTGAATTGCCGTCGTCATGAGTGATGACTGTAAAATGAAGGCTATTACTGAAGAAAAAGAAGAGAGGAACTAGAGATAACTTAAGATTGTTAAGGAAAAGAAACTCCTCCAGTCAGCACTACACTTCCTCTTATAAACGCTGCATTCCACTGAAATCTGCCCTGCACGTGTGTGTGTGTGTGTGTGTGTGTGTGTGTGTGTGTGTGTGTGTGTGTGTGTGTGTGTGTGTGTGTGTGTGTGTGTGTGTGTGTGTGTGTGTGTGTGTGTGTGTGTGTGTGTTTCCATGCATCCTCTCACCACTTGGGGAGGCTCCTGGTGTTTGTGCTGGGCGCTGAAATGCTCCAGGACCTCCTGGTAGTCACTGCGGTTGACGTTGTTGCCGTTGACCTTCAGGACGACCTGGCCTGGCTGGAGACCCGCCCCCGCCGCCTCCCAGCCTGCAGTGTGTCAACACAGGGTCAGAGGTCACAGGGTGGTAGGATTACAGGAGAACTTTCTACAACACGTTGGACTAATATGAAAACATGAAGTGCTGTACACGTGTCTCACATTTTGAGGGAGTAATCATCTCCAAAAACATAAAAGCACATGAGATCATTTTCAACGGAAATCTTTTTTTTTTTTTTTTTTTTTTTTAATGTTTTGGACTCAATTCCCGTATCTGCTCAACCTCGCCCCTTTTGTTCCTCCAGGAAAATAGAGAATTCCTCACTTCAGTGGCGTAACACGATGTCCCAAGCGACTAATGGCTTTACAGCCTGGAAGTCCAATCAACACCTCCATCATCTTCCTCTCCTGACCTAAAAATACCAGCACTGGCATCACTTCCACTCAAGGGTGCCAGCAATTACCTAACACTGGGGCTACTTGACCCATGCATGGATGACGAACAGGGGAGCTGATTTACGAACAGAAAATAACAACGAGAGACTCTAAATCAGATGGAGAAAAAAAAAATTCCACTGGTCAAGACAGCGGGAGAGAGAAAAAGAGAAGGGTTATGGAGAGGAAGAGGGAGGGGAGAGAAATGTGGAGAACTGAGACGGAGCAGAGAAGTGAAACCCTAAGATCACATTCTTCTGTTGCACCATCCCACAGCTCTTCCCTTCCTTGTTTTGTTTTTTTTCAGTGTCCTCTCCTGCTCCTGTCTGCTTTACACTTTGGGATTTATCCTTCAATGACATAACTCGCTCATTTTTCTATTTTGAGTCTCACTAGGCGGTGCAAACATCTGGTTTGGAGGTTGCGAGGACAGAGCAGAAGGAAAGAGAAGGTCAAAAAAAGTTTGGGTGTCTTTAATGCACACTGATCACAGAGCAGTGTGTGTGCATATGTGCATATGTGCGTGTGTGTGTGTGTGTGTGTGTGTGTGTGTGTTTTAAAAGCAGAGTTAGGTCTATTAAGGGTTTGAACCCTGACCGCGCTGTCTGGCTGACAGGTGGCCATAAAAACCTAATAGAGGCTCACTAAAAGCAGAAAGTAACAGGTGGTTAGAGGCTAGAGTTACCTCATCTTTGCCTTAAATTCACCCAGAATTATTTGTCTTTCTGACACTGTAAACGCTTTTGAGAGGACTTACTGGCACCAATTCCACAATAACAAGGTCAAACTATTACATATCAGTTCACACACTTCCTGTGTGTAACTGATTTCAAGAAATGTTCATTCAATTATGTCTCCCTGAGAGCTGTGTATCGTTAAACCGCTAAAAAGGTTATTTCCCCATTAGGTGTTCAAACCGATGGTTTCCTTTTACCTCACAGAACAAGAATGTGTGCTGAGTCCTTTGGTGTAACTGTCACTCACCTTTCCTGACAGCGTGGACATGAGGAGGGGCGGAGCCACACAGTCTGAAGGAGAGGCTGTCTGGGTTGTCAGGGATCTTCACAATCCTGGGTGAGAAAATATCAGTCAGACCAGAGTGCTTCACACATGGGATCGGGTGTGTATACAATATTGACTACATAAAAGAAGGAGGTGTGGCCCCTAAGATGTCAACAATTGGGTTTCAGACTCATTGCTAAACCTCGACCCTGATTGACAGATCACCATGGTAGCAACTTGTTAATCATGGCGGCTAACCGCCAAAAGAAACACCACGCTTTAGTGGTGAGTCTTTTTTCCTCTAAATTGGACAATATTTTTAAATCAGGGTGTATTAAATAAGTCCTAAAACTAGCCTTTGAGATCATAAACTAAAATCGACAAATGTTTACAGAAATATAAGTGTTGGAGTTATTTCCTCTTGTAGTTAAATATGATCAGACTTCTTTTGCATCGTGTGGAGAAGCTGCTTGCTGGCCAATAGGAAACATGCAGGCTTAAGGCGCTTCCACATTGGCTCGACTTTAAAAACCAGAGACTACGTCCACCTCCCATAAACAGTCTAAGGCATGTGCGTGTGCTTGTGTGTATTTCCTCACTCCTTGGCCTTTGTAGCGACCAGCAGCCGCAGGGAGCGCCGTATGCAGAAGGCTTGGCTGATCATGGTTTCCACCTCAGAGAAGGGCCTGAGGAACAGCAGGTCCTCGTTGATGGTGTAGATCTTCCTGCCCACCTGCAGGCCTGCCATCTGGAAGGACAGACGGACAGAGAGGAGACAGACTGTTGGGTTTTTTTTGTGTTTTTTTTATTTTTTTTAAATAGCTTTTTGCAGCTTGTTTCAGCTCCCTCTAAAGCAGGGACCACAACTCAATTCATGAATTTTCCTCCCTGGTGCCACAGTGAGACCAAACTGTTTGTAGCATTTGGCCCGGATAAAGGTTTAAGTGTTTATTACCCACAATCCAGCATTCCCTGTGCCTCCAAGGAGTATGGCACCAAACAAACCAAAACACAGCAGAGAGAATCAGGAAAGGCTGCTCAGTGTTTTCACAGCTTGTTCAGTCAGGTTTTTTTCCATCATATGAAAAAAAGGCTTTTTAAATGGAGGGAGTGCAAATCGAGATCCACAGCTAGATATGATTGAGCAGCACAAAATTCACACCTGAGTTTCCTGCCTGCTGCATTTTGGAAATGCAAGTGTTTCCTGATCAAAGGGTTATTTACAATGTCATTGCTCACCACTGTCACCACATGTTTCTGCAAGCTACCTGTGCTGTGTGTTATCAGATCTGTCTGATCTCTTTTACTTCAGTAAATACAAAATCAAACACTGAGCATGTAAGAAGCTCTTCTTAAGCGTGGGACTTGTGCAGGTTTAGATCCATGTGTAAATATAATCAATTAGGTCTGGGTCAGGTTGCTTTATATTTTCTATTAATGTTGTGTTTTTGGTAATATGTGGAAAACCTATGAATTCAAGAGATGCATACTCAGTGCTGATCAGGAGAGAAACAAATGAGCACCACTGTGCATGGATAAAGCTGAGGCAACTGGACTTAAAAATCTTAAAGACTGAGAGGTGTCTTCAAGATTTTCACCCAGTCCAGTTGCCTTTGGATCCAGCTGTGCCTGGATGAGAAACCTACACAGATAAGATCTTGAAGATGTTTCACCTCTCCTCTGAAAGGCTTCTTAAGTTCTAAACAAACCGATGGACGGAGCTACAAATTTAAGCTCTCTGTGGATCATTAGGATGCTAACGATCAAGGATGACTCACTTCAGAGTCGTTAGCTGAGTCTCGTTGACCTAGTTTTGGCCTAGAGTCGTTAACACCTCCAGTCGTCTGTGGGTCGCTGTAGTCACATGTTCCAAGATGGGACTGGGGCAGAGAATTCAAAACAGCACTGTAGGTTGCTAAAAGACGGTGTCTCAGTCCACCACCTTGGTTAAGGGATGATTTTTCCAATTTAACAAAGATGGCTTCTTTAACACCCCTTTCAAACCAACCTTTATATCTCCTATGGGATATAAAAAGGTAGTCTAGATACAATTTAGAATTCAAATCAGATCAGGTTCTTCATGTATGACTACGAAGATGTCAACATGTAAGCGTCTTAAAATACAGTCTCAATTGTATATAACAATTGAATTACCAGGTAATGGTAACAATTAGATATCAGCTCCTGTGGTCCCCTCTAAACTAACAGACACACAGCCGCACAGCCTGCTGCACATCACTAAATGCAGTCATCTTGCACATCTTCAGTCACGTTGTGAGAATAATGCGGCCTCTGTGTGTTCGCTGTGTGAGACCAGTGTCCTGGGCACAGATCCGGTGGGGTTGCCTTGGCTGAGCGGAGGCCCGACTCTGGATAACAGCCCAGGATGGATGTAGGGAGCTACCACCATCTGAATGTGGAAGGATGTATATGTGTGTGTGTGTGTGTGTGTCTGCATGTGACTTTCTCTATAATAGTATCATATAGTGAAAGAGCTCTGTGTGTGTGTGTGTGTGTGTGTGTGTGTGTGTGTGTGTGTGTGTGTGTGTGTGTGTGTGTGTGTGTGTGTGTGTGTGTCTCTCAGCCCCTTTCAGAGCCCCATGGGAATCAGCTGAGCCTCATTCACTGTGCTGGCACACGGGCTGTGTCACAACTAGCAATCCTGTTATTGTGGGGCATGGGGGACGAGGGGTATGAATAACAGAGAGAGAGACAGGCAGAGAGAGAGAGGAGAAAAACAGCAAGTGGGAGCAGAGGGTTGAGAGGAGAAAAAGAAAGATTATCCAAAGACAGACTGAGGAGAAGATAAATGTGGGAAAAAGCTGCAATGAGTTAAATAAGAGAAAGCAATAAGAACCAGAGGAAACAATAAGGACACTGAGATGAAATACACATGTTTTTCAAGACGAGATTTAAAAGCATCTAGAAACTAAACAAACTTTGTTCATCAGGTTAATCTTCCCAGCCAAAAGCCCGACAGCCTACAGTCACCAGTCAGCTCTGGGAACGACCAGCAAGACACGATCAGCTGATTTAAGAAGGCGAAATAGATCTTTGAAATGATTCAGGGGCCGGGTCGTGGTAAGCCTGGAATGTCAACAATTGAACCATTAAATCTATGAGAAAGCAAATCGTAAGCCAATGCCAGGCGTCCCAAATCAGATTTATATGATCTTGTTGTCTCAAATCGATTTGATAATCCTAGCAGCAGCAGAAGCATTTTGGGGAGATTAAAAGTGATTGCAGGGTAGCTTGAAAAGAAACTCTGCAGAAGGCTGGAAAGAAATCTAAACCAGACAGAAGACAATGGAAATCCTTTTTGGGAAATTTAACTAAAATTTTGTTTTGAAAGAATCCTGACAGAACAATCCTCTTTTATTGCTCTTTCATTATTTCTTAATTTTAAACAAGGATCAAATATCGCGGGCTGTCCGACCGAAAAAATGATGTGCAGGGGGACACATGATAAGATCCGTTTCATTGTCAAAATGTGGCAAAGGCCCTTTAACAGGCTGATCTCGAACAGGAGAGTAATACAACAACATTCTTCAGCATAAAGAAATTCAAACGTCATTCTTGTTTTTTTTGGTCTAAACTTAAATGGCTTCTTAATTAGCTGTGCATGGGTAAAAAAGGTGTGTGTGATGTGTGTGTTAATGTGTGTGTCTCTGCATGTTTCTGTGGCATGATGTGAGCAAGCATGGCCAATGGCTCTGCAGCCAATCAGAGTGCAGCTCTACCAAAGGGGAAAAAAAAGCAGACTGACAGCAGCCGTCTAAACAGTAGACAGCCATTACCTACTGGAACTAACGCCCCGAGGCAGGAAGGAGATGCAATGTGTGTGTGTGTGTGTGTGTGTGTGTGTTGACCATTACCTCAGCATGTGAGCCCCTGGTGACAGACTTCACCACGATGGCCTTGTTTTTCTCCTCGATCTCGAAGCCGTAGTCTTCTTCCTCGGGGTGAATCTAACAGAGAAAATCATCTAATTATTGCCACATTTATATTTTAACCGTGTTCCCCTGGTTAACATCAGGAGTGAGAAAGTAGCAACATATGAATTATATGTTTTATTTATCTTAACAAGCTTTGTTGCTATTGTGCACATAAATATCTTGTATATATAATATATTTTTCCCTCAAAAGGTCATTTAGGACTCATTCAAGTGTCCTGTTAAAGTCATTTATAGCACCCTCTCTGGGCGGTCATATACACAAATTGTCCACACGTCATCACAGTTTCAATCAGGCAGCAGTTTATGATTTTCATCGTGTGTCAGGTGTCTCCTAATGATGTGTTTTTTGCCTCTCATTTTCTATTCCCCAGTGAGGGCGGTGCTTCATTAGAAGCTGTCATCACCAAACACTTAAGCCTGCTTCCATTAGGTAAGCTTCTGGGGCTTCTTCTTCCTCCTGCACCACTCTGATAAGATGCAGATCTCCGCTGTTAGTTTAGAGGAGATGGCTGTGGTAAATAAAGAGTTCCTGCACTTTACTTTAGTAATAGCCACGAGGAATGATTAGTTCTGCTAATCAAGAAGAAAAAGCACTAAATGTGAGTTTTAACATGCGGCTCAGCATTATACTGCTGGTCCACTTCAACAGCAATCATTTCTACCTCTTACTACAACCTACTTTCCTTCCTTCAGTCTGTGCACTAAAATTAGACGTTGCCATCTCTCTGTTCAGATGCGTATGAGTGTGTAGTGTTTCTGACAATAAACTGCCACCACTCATTGTTTAATATCTCCCAGGCGGTAGAGTCGATTAGATTTCCATGAGACAACGCTCATTAAGATTCACACTGATCAGAGCTAATTCAAAAGGTGTTTACAGCCATCAAAGTATCTTTAGCTCCCATGAGAGGAACAGATTTTTTTCCCCCTGCCAGTATCAAGATTGTGATTATATTTAGTTGGAAAAAGGAACGCACATCAGTCGAATCAAAGTGGAGGGAAGGAAATAGGCTATACCAGTATGTATAGCCATGTTATATAACAACTATTTATCACACACACACGCGCAGTACTCTAAATGCATCTACTTGAATGGAAGAGCGATACATCCCCAGATTAATGCAGATAAATCTGATCTTTTTTCGGCCTTTTCATTCATCCACATTCATCCATTTATAGTCACTGTGAAAAGTGATTTCTTTCTTTGGGTAAGACCCTTGAGAAGAAGAGATGCTAGTATCACCATGAAGTTAATTAAAAGATCTTTGTGGCATATTGAGAGCACTTGCCTCAGGGAAAGCCTTCAATGTTTTCCTAATTATCCTTTTTTTTTTCTCTCCTGAAATTACGATTGTGAGTCTGGCACTGTGACAAAAAGCATCTGTGTGACCATGTTAACGCGTGAGAGAATGTATAAATGCATGCGTTTATGTGTTTTGTTTGCGAGCCAGCCTCACCACCAAAGACTTGGCCAAGATGTTTTCAATGAGTTTGAAGTCGTTGCGCTGGAGCTGCTTGCTCTTGGTGCTGGTTCCCTCGATTTCCTCGTCCGCATAGAAACGGAAGAACTGGGACTCGTCTTTGAACTCGCTCTTCTCCAAGACTGAGGAAGGAAAAAAAACACAAGCAGAGCTTTTAAGTCAGAAAGCCGCAGCAAGAAAGTTATTTTGGCACAAATAGCACTGGACCACATCGCACGCTTTTTGTTCAAAGTTGTGCATGAAAAAAGTTAAGTTAAGTGGTGCTAATGTGAGGGCATAAACAGGCGCTCAACATTGACTTTGACCATTTTAACAATAGCCTTAAGTTGTGTTTGTGCTCATTGTTGTGGCAAACAGACTGAAATATTCTACCTTTTAATATGAAAAATGGTGACATGTTTGCAGGTCGTCTGTACCTTCAAAGACATGTGGACATACATTACTGTTTTTAGAGCAGAATCCAAAGAAAAAGAAAATGTGTGGACCTCTTCACACAAACAAGCCAATGGTTAATTAGCTCATTAGCTAATGATGCTAACAAGAACATCTGGAGCCAAATGACATCTGCGTCGTGGCCAGATGTGATTTGTCCAGGGCTCGGAAGGATTCTCCAGAGGACACAAGAAACCGTCTGCCGTGTGTGTGTTTGTGTGGGTTTAGATACCACACTGTTGGGCTGAGCCTCACTCAAACACATGAGGCTCCTCAGACAGGTGAGGATGCTTCTCTAGTTGGAGCAGTTTAAAACAAAACAAAAAAGCTTTTTTTGAATTAAAGATTTGACCATTTGGCTCTTTTTGCTTTATTTTTATGCAACACTGAATGATTGCCTCGGATTTTCTGCATCTTCTCTTTAAGGTAGAATATGAAATAATGAATAGCCAATCATAGTTTGTTGATTTTGGGGTGGCCAATCAGATTTTAAGGGGGGCCCATGTCCATCTGGACACGCCCATGGCAACAGATGAAAATACCCAAGTGTGCCTGAATCGTCATGATATCCACTGTAACCTTAATAAGTCGACAACTTGCACTGACAACTTAGTTTGTGCCAAAGTGTTGATGTGATGAAAGGATTCAGACTAAAGTCATGATGGCTTCATATTCTACTGTGCTGGAAAATATCAAAAACGTATTGATCTGTTTGTGTCCCTTATGAATTTTTTTTTCTTACACTGGTTCCAAAACATAAACACGTTCACAGACATCAAAGTGAGAATCCTAATCCTACAGATGTTTGAATCTGTTGTTCCACTGTAAAGCGGGGACTGTAAAGGCAACACTGAAAGAAACCCAACTGTTCAGAGATCTGAAGAGAATCTGGCACCCTCAGGTGAAGAACTCTCTCTCTCTCTCTCTCTCTCTCTCTCTCTCTCTCTCTCTCTAAATCCACGCTGGCCTTACGCCAACCTAAACAGATCCTGACCGTGAGGCACTTCCCCTGTTCCCCTGAGTCACGGAGGGTGTGGCCACATAATGGAGGGAGTGCTGCTCCGGAAACTGTCACACCACCATAAACCACAAGCAGTTACAATTTATACAATTTATCTATGTATGCATGACATACAATATGAGGCCCTGGCGCAGTTAAAGAGGAATAACTATTTCACACTAACCAGGTCTTTAAAGTATTTGATGACACTTAATACTAAATAAACATATGTCTAAAAAACTGATCCCCTCAAGGCAGGTTTTGTCTCAGAGAGCAAGTTTTTGTATTGATTTACACGGCTGTTAATTCCAATGACAAGTAAATTGTGGTGACAGGGTTAATTTGATCCTGATAGCTTATAGTGCTTGACATTCGATATATATGATTAAATGGATGAAGACAGTTTGGATTTGGAGTCAATTAAAGTCTGACTCCTAAAGAGGAGCACTGGAGGAAATGTAGATCTGGTGTTGTACTTTATATGTTGCGTAGCAGATTGTGCATGACGCACAGAGAGACAGAGAGTCAAAGCAGACAAGGACACAAAAATAACAAGTTTAAGAGGACCAGGTGAAGTGAAGCAGATGTGCTGAGTAAGGAGTAAAAAAACAGAGAGAGAGAGAGAGAGAGACTTGAGGAGAGGTGAGGAGTGCAGACAGGCTGTGAGGACGAGGTCAGGACCCTGAAGAAGGGCGACGAGAGGGAGAGGTAAAAGAGGACAGGTGAGACTCCCTCCAACAGATGGTAGAGGAGGGAGGAATGTGTTTGTCTGAGGGCCAGTGGGGACGGTGAGAAGTGAAAGGAAAGACACAGGCGGACTGACAGAGAGAGAGAGAGTGTGTGTGTGTAAATCAATGCCAAAAGCCAACACTTCACACAGCATTTACACATGTTTGTACGCTTGTAATCAATTTGACATTTAAACATAGATAATGTACACATTGTGATTCATGACTGGTGCTTGTAGTGCACTGATTGCTACAAGTTGTCAACAAACAGCCTGTGATATAAAGCCTGTGTGCTAATGTAAATAGGACGAATGTAGTTTGCTGCTGGGATGACCCTGCAGAGGTTTTTTAAAGGAGTTTTAGGATATTAGAGGAGGATCAAACTTTGGTGGGGTGATAAAACGATCTTGAAACTGGATCTTGAAAATAATTATTTCAATAACGATGATACATTTTGGCAATTTATCTAACAGCCTTTCATGCAGTAATTATATCTGCAACAGCCAGTCAGTCTGCAGTTTATAAGACTGCTTGTAAACCTACGTCTTCTACATGAAATAATTGTTTGCTGAGTCATGAAATAAACAGTGGAGGTGAAATTAAGCTTTAGCACAAGTTCAGTCAGAAATAACTTCGCAGTCTAAGTTGTTGATTATTTCCCATTAATCGTTTTCTTGCATGCGCCCTCACACTCCCTGATGTCATCTCCTGAGGCCATCATTTGAAAATCAGCTGCGTCATCAGCTGGTCTCGTTCATCCTATGGCAGCCGTTACCAAACTTTAGAAAACCTTGGCCAAATTTGAAATTTGACGACATATTTAAGTCTGTTATTATCTAAAAAACACACAAAAAAATCTATTTGAAAGCAGACCTACATCAACAGAGTACCAATAAATAATAAATTAATTTGAAATTCACAATTTTCAAAGAAACAAACTTGTGTGAATATTAGAATGCCTCTGACTGCACTGTTGGTGTGTTTAACTTCAGTACTCAAACACCAACTATTGTTTTTTTAGTGGTTTTAACATTACCCATAATACACTTGGCCGATGGAGATTCAATTTTAGGCCTTAACCAGTAGTCATGGTTCGGTGCACTGACCCAGACACCAGTGTAGCTAAGCCAAACAGCTCTGGTTAGGGTACACTGCTAATGCTGTTTACATTCAACATATCTGGGCTAGAACCGAAGCCGCTCCACTACAATGTGGTCAGTGAGGCTACAGAGGCTTGGCTGGACCAGGTGTGCAAATTTAGGATACTTTTTTTAAAACCTATGACAGCATTACAGACCAGAGGATTCAATTATTTTGTGGTTAGAGGCCAAATTTAGGATGAGGTAATCCAGCAGCTCAGAAAAAGAAGAGAGAAATAAAGTCATAAAAGAACAGCGTTGATTCAATTTAAAGAGAAGGTGTCCTTGAAAAATAAACTTTAAATAATAAGAGACTGTCAAAGGATGACGCCCCATGATGCATGTGTTGCATATGTTTCATATTGCTTCCTCACACATCCTTCATGCTTGTGTGTGTGTGTGTGTGTGTGTGTGTGTGTGTGTGTGTGTGTGTGTGTTTGTGACAAAGAATTGAACTGACCGTGGTGCATGAAGCCATTGTTGCAGAGCCCCACGCCCAGCGTCACAGCGTCCTCTCGGGTCGAGCAGTCTCCCTGGGAAACCAAATCAGTGACGCACACAGTCGGTCAGTTACATTGCCTGTTTACACCTTCCTCACAGAGAGCAGACTGCAGCACAGCTGGCCTGAGTTATCTGAGTGACAATGATGATTTGTGAGCCTGCACACGTTAATAATATGTGCATGATAAACACAATGAGAGATGAGGAGACTGATGTCCTTGTCTGCGCTCCTCAAAGTCATTGTGCTGTGACAAATGTTTTGCTAACTAATTAAAGAAAACATCTAAAAAGTTGTCTTCCCTGATAGGCTTAAGCAGTTATGACAGGTATTATCATTACACACGACCTTGGTACCTTGTGCAGTATTACGTATTTCTGGATTAAGAGAAAGGATGACAGACGTGGATTTTACCTGCAGAAGTAGCCAGTCTACCAGTTTGCTGGCAGGCACCACAGATTTAAAGGTTTTCAGATGATGGTCTCTGTCCCTAAGGAAGAACAAAAAGGGGTTTCAGAAAAGTCATTTTCATACATTCAGATAGTAGGTTGCATGAAAAACATAGATGACAGTTAGTGATGATCTCCCATGTTACAAGTCTTTGAATGTAATTTTTTGTGTGATTTTTCAGGTTTATTTTCAGTGTTTACAGTCAACTGATGCATGGTCTCCTGTAATGTGTTAAACAGGCAGAGACAGCCACTGTCCATTACTTCTGCTGGTGTTTACATGTACCAGGATGCATTGTGCTCAAACAGTAGCAGCTTAAAATAACTGCACACTGTCCATAGAATTGTCTTGCATTCATATTTTGGGATATTATTTTTGCCTGTTTTGTAGCGTAGCCATAGCTAGTTTGCAATAAAAGCGTATGTGAAGACTTAAAATGCCAGCTGAGGGGCGCCAGTAGCTTAGTGGTTAGTGCAGGCGCCCATGTACAGAGGGGTATAGTCCTCAAAGCGGGCGGCCTAGGTTCGAATCAGATCTATGATTCCTTTCCCACCTAATTCTCCACTCTCTCTCTCTCTCTCTTTCTGACTCTTTCCACCAACAAAAAGTGCAGGCATTTCATACATAAAACGTAATAATATACGTAGGTAATGCAGCAACTTAACGTCTCGACATAAACCATGTGAATGTAAAAAGCTGTTTCTTATTATGCTAAAACTTATCTAAAAATGTCAAGGTTGAAAATCAGACAAACTTCCTGTAAAGCATCTCTTAAATGACCGATTCAACTCAACAACAACCATCAATAGTGTCTGTTGTGTTTGAATAAAGCAAAAACGGGGCGCAGATGGTCTAGAAGTTCGGTCGTGCCCGATGTACGGAGGCTATAGTCCTCCTAGTGGGCAGCTCGGGTTCAAGTCCGACCTGTGGCTCCTTGCCTTTATTACCAAATAAATGATATCTTGAAACTTAAAAAAGCGAAAACTGAATATCTTAAATTAGAGAAAAAGATTATTATCAGAAAGTTTTCTCCAGGACAAAGTCTGTTGTTATCTGCAGGTAATACAACAACAACTACATGTGTTACAGGCAGATTGTTATTCTACAGTTTTAGAAATCATGACAGGAAAACAAAACAAATGACAAAAAGTCATTTCCCTTCTCAATAATAACTCTCTAAACGTTTGTAAAAATCACACAAAGAAGGCCTGGTAGCACAACCTGCACACCCTGTTAACACCGAGTAAGGACGTGTGGTTGGTTGTGCAACTCAGTGGGTGTATCACAGCTCATTAAACAAACAGTGTTCTTTTTGCTTCAATTTGTCAATGCTATGAGTAAGACACGGGCTTTATTTGAACCACCCATTTTGTAAACTGAGATTTTCAGAATGACAGCCAAATATATAATCTGTTGCTGACTGAAAGTGCTCTGATGAATAAATATGAAAAAAATCTCCTGAGCTACTTCCAGACATGACGTGCTGATCACAGAGTCTCTACTTTATTCAATAGAGTATGACGTCTGCAGCAGTCTCATTATTGATTTTATTGGGCTTATATCTAATTCATCATATGTTATTATTCTTGCATTTTAATGTTACGAAACAAGGGGCTACTTTGTCACTCAAGTTCAATAAAACAGAGGCAGGGGCGATCATATTTATGATTCATAAAATACAACGCATGCATCACTCATAAAGTGTAATGAATGGCTGCCACATACAATGCCAATTTAGTGATGGATTAAAAAAGGCCAGGGCTGTATTACATAATATCTGGCAGGCAGCAGAGGGTTTTGCTTTGTATGTTAATAGGATTTGTGCCCGGACCAAAAGCTCTTTGTTTGCTCCGATGGCAACCCCGGCACTTCAATCAGCGAGTGACTGATGGAGGGAGAGATAGAGGGATGAAGGGGGAAGAGCATGAAAGGAGGGGCTGCAGTGGCCTGAGTGTGCATGTGTGTGTGTGTGTGTGTGTGTGTGTGTGTGTGTGTGTGTGTGTGTGTGTGTGTGTGTGTGTGTGTGTGTGTGTGTGTGTGTGTGTGGGAGTCCGAAGGCGATGACGATGTGTGTTTCTGTCGCTTCTGCACGAATTCCTGCTTTCATTCTGACTCTTGGAAGTTCTGATGTAAAAACATTTCTATAAAGTGAGATCACTCCATGGCCCTAATGTCACTATCAGTCTTATTATTTAGATTTTAAGGTAGAATTAAGCCCTTAAATGACACGTTGGTTCAAGGTTAAAGGGTCAAGAAAGAGAATTTAAATATCTTAGTTTTAAAGGAACAGTTAAGGACTAATGTTCACAGGGTTGTGCTTTTTCCTTTGATGACACATTCAGGGTGGGAAGCTTAACCTTTGTTATAAAGCTGTACTGCTGTTTTCAATGTTTGCTAACCTTGTAATTAAACCAGGCATAATGTGACAAAACCTCGTCTATACAGCAAAACTTTAGCTTTCCCTTTGTGAGGACACTGAAAAGACAGTTAGTATAGAACATTTGGAGAAACTTATGTGTTACCAAATATGTTGTTTTGAGTTTAAATATGGCCCCATCATGCATCCAGAGTTTCACTATCTCTTGTAGGTTTCCAGTTCCTGATCCATCATGAAGCAGTGCATTGATAACAAATTGTCAGATTCTCAGAGATGGTTTCTGTGTGTGTGTGTGTGTGTGTGTGTGTGTGTGTGTGTGCGTGTGTGTGTGTGTGTGTGTGTGTGTGTGTACTGGACAAAGTAGTTTCATATTGCAGAGTACGTGTTGTGCATCTGTAAGCAGTAAAGTTGGACAGAGTGTCTCCGTTGATGTCTGAAAGCAGGGAGTGCATTAACTAAGGAATAAAAAGAAAAGGAGATTGATGAGGTTGAAAATGCTGCTGTCATCATCTGAACTTCTTCTTCTTCACTCGTGTATCAAGTATCCACTAAGATAAATTCACTTAAACCACAACACTGCTGAGATGAAGGAACAAATGCTCATGATATGTAGATCTCCTTAATCCTTTAAAAGCTACCTTTTTATAAACCTCGCTTAATGAAAACCTGGCAGACTGAACTGAGAAGACGTAAACCTGCAGCACCTCCAGAACTGGTATGAGAGGAAAGTGTGACTGTTAGTTCAGTGATTACAGAAAGGGTGACGCGGGCCAATGTGAAGCCCTAATGAATATGCATGTGTGCACCTGGAGAGCAGAAACATTAGCATACTGTAAAAGGGGGGGGGGGGGGGGGGGCAGGTACTTACTTGATGACAGGCGTGTGGAGGCTGTGGAGACGGCAGTATAGCCTGACGCCCTGAAAGAGAAGAAAAGCAGAGCGGCTTGAGTCATAGGAGGAACACACCTTGAGTAAACAAGAACAAGCATGGCTTCAGGACAAGATGTTTGACTGCTGACTGTGAAAGGAGCTCCCCCCCCCCTCCTCCCCCGGGGCAACATTTTAGGAGAATCATTCCAAAGCCATTATCTCTAAACGAGGCCTTGGAAAGAGATGGAGATGTAAACCAACACAAACAACCTTCATGTCCTTTTTTTCTTTAAATTTACTCTCTGATTGAGCTTGCTATTTAAAGGCTTCAGAGGATTATGGAGTAAATGTAGACACAAGTCGTTCAGGCTTATATGAATGTATTTTAAAAACTAAATTTTTTAACAGATTAAAAACAAAAATATCTAAAGGTTCCAGGGGTGCGTACAGAGGGGTGGCATCGGCCCCCTTTGAAGTCTGTTTGCCCACAAACTTCATGAATTAGTCGGTGCCCCAGGTGGGCGACTCTAGTCAAAAAAAAGTCTGGACACGCCCCTGAATGGTACTTTGAAAAATTATGATACAAAGTTTTTAAAGTCAAGAAAATGAGGTGAGGTTTGTCAAGTGAAGAAGAAATGACGGCGTAGAAATGATACACGACTTGCGCAAAACATATTTTACACATGATTCACCTTAAATCTGAAGTTAACGAGCTCAGACTTGTGACGCTGGTGTCTGTAAAGACGTTGTTTCTCTTTTTCATATGAAACACAAAATAAATATTCAGAAGAAGCTTGGTTACAGCTACCTTAGACATGATGTCCTCCATCTCACTGCGGGCCTTGTAGGTGCCGTCGTCGTAGCGGAATCGGTACAACACCTGCTCGTTCTTGAACTGGTGTTTGTCTGACACTGAAACACAAACAGAAAAACACCAAAGTGTCACCTGAGCGTCACTCCTGTTGTGATCAATCTTCAGGTATGATCTTTAGTGTTTACATTAGTAATATAAGCCTCGATGTTCATTACTCCTGCCTCGTGTAAATGCTTTGAAAGGCTATCACTTCCACTTGAGAGGGCTCTCAGATACACTCACTTTAAATCTTCAAGGTTACCTGTACCGTATGTTTGAGTCCTGGCTCAAGACTTAAAGTTAATCTTCTTTTTTCTGCGAGAGTGAATTTACTCTGGAACTGTTCGCCAGAGGAACTGACTCATGCACGGTCAGTTTCATCTTTTAAATCCCTTCTAAAAGCAGACTTTTATGTGATTTACTCCCCACACACTCCAGTTCAGGAGTTTGGACTCATTGAAGGGTTATTGTATAACCTCCCTCTTCCTTTTATTACTCTTAACTCTGATATTTATAGGTGTCATCTGTTCTCTATTTGTTTCTCTGTTTGTTGATTTTGTTTTTTTACAATTCTACGATTCATCTAGCAGACACTTTTATCAGGAGCGAGGAACATCAGACAGTAAGTTAAACACAGGCGAAGATCTCGAGAGGAGGAAGCAACGTCAGGAAGTAAAAACAAGCAGCTTTAAGTCTGATAGGACACAAAGGTTGCAGACAGGAAGTGACCAAAGGCAGAGCAATTTTTTATAATTAAAGGTAAAAGTAATATATTGTCATCAACAACTACATCAACAGCTTTAGGTATCAAAACTATCCTAATTATCATAATCATCATCATCTTCAATATCAGAGAGTGTGTAGATGTTCAGTAAAGTGATGGGTCTTTCATGAACACCTACGTTTAGTTTCTGACCTCAGATATTACCAATCCTTTCATTATTTGGATTTGTTTTTTACTTTCTTGATGCATTTGAATTTGAGGGAATAAAAGGTTAAACATTTTTTTAAAGTTCTATACAAATGAAGTTATTATTTTGATTGTTAAAACCTTAACAGCTGAAGAAAAGATCCAGACTGTAGCTGAATTTAGTCAACATCTATCTCATTCTGTCACACCAAGGATCCATCAGAGGAGTACTTACTGTACATAAGGATGAAATGTGGTTCAGCAGATATGATCTCTGAACATAAACATGCACCAATACAGAAGCCTTCAGAGGACATGCATTCATACATTCCATTTGTCTCAGTTTTCCTGTGATAAATAATCGGAGCTTTTTATCTCGTTATCTTGGGAAGTATTCCATAACTACCGTCGTTTTCTCAACATCTTGAGTACTTAACTTGTTTTCATGGGAAAAACCAGGGTTGTTATTTCGAGATAAAGACATACATAAGTTGAGATCTTCAGTAAACAACTGGACATTTCGCGTCATCACAGGAAAACAGAGTAAAATTAAATGTGAGAACACATGTCCCTTTAGGGCTTCCATACAGAAACAGAAACATCTTAATGTTTGTTGTCAGAAGTAAAACTCCATGCATGCACATTTCATCATGCTTGGACAAAATCACTTTTGTTTTAAGTGTCAATGAACTGTTATATGCATTTCATCTGCGGTTGTTATTGTGTAAGAACAGAGAAGAGACTAACAGCTCAATGTTAAAGTTATTGGGGGAAACCCTGCGGTCGTGTGTTACAGTCTGTGTTGAGTGAGTCATGACATTCAAACTCTCAACACAACGGACAGCTGCCAATTCTCATTAAATCTCTCAGCTCACATTAATAAACAAAACATGTTCTTATTGATAATGAATCCAACAAAAACACAGAAAAGGACTAATACATACAGAAACAGATGTCTGTTGGAGAAGCTTGCAGTGAAATGTGCCAAACAGAGGCAGTTTGGTTTCACCACAACACGTTGGCATGGGCTCAAACAAGCTGCTGGTTTCTCTCAGTCTAGACTTAAAATGCTCTCGTAAATTCAAAACGGCACCACACAATCAGCCATTGTAAACTGTCAAATGTGGAATTCAAAATATTTTGAACGATAATTGAATTATTGTGATGGGGTGAGGTGATTGCTTTGGGAAAATTGCAAACATTCAAGTAGGAACTGGTGTCTTGTAGAGGCTCAAACATGCACAGCTGACTGAATAAAGTTTGTATTGTGTGCTATAAAACTCATGTGGTCGACTGTCTTGCTTTTTATGTTGCTTTTTTTTTGGAGAGTACAGTGAGCAGGGAAAGATGGACAGCTTTAAGTGACCTGTCTGTCACATTTGATTCATGTGTCTGATTTCTTGTTTTTACCTGGTGTCACCTGCATTTTGCCTGCAGACCTCAAGCCTCTCCATTTCACCCACAATGCCTCATTGGTGTCCCACAGAGCCCAGCATGTCACCATTGTAACGGTTTGTGGTTGTACCCGACACTGACGGAGGATTTCAGGGGATTTTCCACACGTTTTAAAGGTATGTGAATGGTGCATTTCTGCAAATTCTCCCTGACAGGTTGGTGTCTATAAATCATGACAGTGGTTAGCGTTTACTTTGTACCCGAGCCCCTTCAGCGACACTTTTGATAACTGTGTTCATGCATTATTTATATGCGTTTGTGTTGTGTGTGTGTGTGTGTGTGTGTGTGTGTGTGTGTGTGTGTGTGTGTGTGTGTGTGTGTGTGTGTGTGTGTGTGTGTGTGTGTGTGTGTGTGTGTGATTTCTTAATGCATTATTCAGGTTAGTGGACGAGTGTGAATGTCACACTCAGGAGAAAATCAGGAGAAAGGAAATGATGCAAGACACATTTCCAGCATCATCATCCCAAACAGATCATGGTGGTTTCTACCCTAAATTGTCTCCCCGATTGGAAGTGAGGGATAATTCATAACAACAATGAGTCAAATAATGACAGAAGGATAATGTGAATCAGATGGAAAAGAGAAAAACAAGGCAAAGACCAGAGGATGTGCTGACTAAACAAAGTTAAAAACAGACAAACAACATGACAATGGGAGCTGCAGAGAGCCTCAGCCAACGTATAAGGGATTAGAAAATGATGGAGGTTTCACAAAGAGAGAGAGAGTGTGGGAATTAGAGTCAGGGGGTTGGGGGGGAACTAAAGGATTCTGTTGTGTCTCACCGTGGTGAATGATGCCATTTTCCAGCAAGGCTTGTCCCAGGTTGACTCCTTCGTCAGGTTTGCTGATCTCTCCGCTCTCTATCAGCCATGACACAAACTCACTGGAAACAAAAAAGACAAAGAAGAAAAATATGAGGACCGCTTTCTTAGGGTCTTATCGCTGAAAATGTCACCATCTTTGCCACGGAGTAAGGTTGCAATGAAATAAGTAATGGTCATGGTAAAAATAACTGTTATCAGTAAATGTCATGTTTTTACAGTTTCCCGAAGCCACTCACTGAGGGCTTTGAAATGTATGTGGCAAAAAAACTAAATGGATATTTAAGATTTTGGTGTGCTGTGCTGAAATACTTTCAATTCTTTTTGAGGGCTGAGGGCGAGCGCGTTTTTTGATTTACTTTGTGGAATCAAGGTGGCCAATAAAGTTTCATGCCACACCACTGGACACACCCCTGCTAAAGAGAGCTAGATATCATAGACAATATGAAATTTTTCAGCCAGAATTATTATGACTTCAAAAGAAGAGTATGTTGGGGTGCTGATTTAGCTCAGTTTAGCTAACAGGTCGCAGGTTCAGTGGCGATTAGAGTCTGTTGGGGCCCTAGGCAAAAATTAATTGGGGACCCCTCCAACAAGCATTTATCACTAGTTTCCCAATGCTTACTTGTCTTCCTCTTTACAGATAATTCCTCTTCATTTTCTCTTGGTGACTTTCATTGACAAATGTTGGTTTTCAAATTTAAAATTCATGCCACGCTTAGCAGGGCAAGGAGAGCGAGTACTGTCAGATGGGACCCCTTAGGGAGGTATCCCACTGTCATTGCAAAATTTGCACATTTTGAGCCACTGCTGAGGTTTAGACTGTGTCGGGCCTTGGGGCCCCCTAATGGCATGGGGCCCCAGGCAGTTGCCTGCCTTGCCTGTTGACAAACAGCACCTCTGTGCAGGATCATGACTCTGTTTGGTGCATGTACTCCCCCACTCTCTCTAAAGCAGAGTTTGACCCTTTCAGTTCCATGTGACAAAACAAGTGAAATACAATCACTCTGAAGCTGATCTGGCCTTCATGTTCACCACTGAGACCCGTGTGTAATACAACATGTTAACACCCTGCAAGCCTCTCTGAGTAACGCAGTCGGTCAGTATGACATTTAAAAATGTTCACAGTAGTTTGATTAATCACGGGCACAGAGGAGAAGTTTTGTAGAAAATTCAGCTTCCATCTCATCCTTTTGTCTGTGCGCTGAACAAATGTTTGAAGAAGCAAATTGCATTCTCCTCCTCTACCTGATTATCTGGGGAAGTGATTCCACTCAGCAGTCAGAAATACAAACAGTGACTGGGAGAGAGACGGTGTCTGTGAGTGTGTTGGTGTGTGTGTATTCATAAATTCTGAGAGTGAATATTTTGGCATGGAAATTATTTTGAAGCTCCTGTGTTAGAAATATGTGTAGATGTGCTGTCAGGAAGGAATGAAGGAAATGTTAAAGAGTGTTTGCGTCATGGCTAAGCATGCGTAAATGTCAAGCATGTGCATGTGTGTGTGTGTGTGTGTGTGTGTGTGTGTGTGTCAGTTTAATTTTGGACACAAATCTGTTGTTGAAATTAATATGATGTGTAGTAATAGTGAAGAAGGTGTATGTGTCGGTGAGAAGAGAGAGAGTGAAATTGATATACACACACACACACACACACACACACACACACACACACACACACACACACACACACACACACACACACACACACACACACACACACACACACACACACACACACACACACACACACACACACACACACACACACACACACACACACACACACGAAATCAACATTCTTGACAGTTCTGAAATGAAATAAAATGACATGATACGGTTGCCACTGTACACATATCTAAATTTAAAAAAAGTTTTCGGATTTTGTAGGATTTCACAGAATGTGTTTGACCTGTGATTTGTCCACTAACCTCACAGCTACGGCACGTACTGACACTGCTGTGGTTCACTTCATAAAATTCTCCAGGGATGAAAATGCATTTTAGCTCCATTTTCCTTTGTGTTCTGCGTTGTTTGAAAAAAATGTGCACCAACAGCACACAAGTAATGTATTTCTATTTCTCATACATTTACGCTGTAGAAACAGTACCAGCTCAACATCTACACAGGATGAATGGGAGGCCTGGAAATGGGACACAGCTTGAGTGTTTTCCCCTCGCAGGATAAGAAAATATAATGAAAACTTAAAGCTAGTGGAACAGAGTCCAAACAAGAACTGGAGCAGGAGGATTTGTCTTAAGACTCGACCGTTGAAAGCACATTTTATACAAACAAACGATGCGAGCCAAGCACTAAAGTTGCAATCACAAAAAGTAAAGCATGTTACCACCGACTATCTTCCAAAGTTGAAAGCCGACAGATGATGGAATAAGATGGGATAATGCTATCAAGACAGCAGGGTGCTATCAAACGGGCAGTCAGCATCTCTGTTTAATGTAATAAGCACTCAAACTGTGCATGCTGCTAATTTCATCAGAGAGATAAATGCAGAGCTAATGCAGGTAGCACTCATCGGCAGGAAATGACCGAGAGATCCAGGGAGGAACGCTGGTAGAAGTGGAAAACAGAGTGAGAGATAGAGACGGACAGGCAACACTTTAACATGGCCGACTCCAAGAAGAGCGAGTGACGGAAAACTGAGTGTCAGAGGAGAGTTTCCTCAGCCATAGCTAACCTAGCTAACCTTGAATTTTCCACCTAATTTACCTAAACTTGTCTGTATATAAGAACCGGGGGAAAGTTGATGTATTGATGGAAGTATGTCAGACTCCTCTACAGTTGGTGGAAATACTAGTTCAGCTAGTTACTATTGGACCATCTTCACGATGGCCTAAAGAGCTCAACAGTTACCGCCCACTTTTCAGGCGGCTGGGGTTCCGCAAGTAAATTTCTTACAATTACTTACATTTCAGAAAGTCTTTATATCAATGTTTTTAATCCTGGAACCAAGCCAAGTAGCTTACAGAATACTCGCGACTATAAAAAATGTGATTCTGCAAAAAATAACTCCGATGGGAAATGGAGAAAAAGCCTAAAGTATAAGACTGTGAATAATTTTTTCCAGGAGTGAAAGACCAACGATCGTTTGCGATTCCAACAACAATATTTTATTGCGCTTCTTTTGGAACGTACACAGACCTTCATCATACATTTATCTTTATCGTAGTGTTTTTACTGTTTAAAGATTTATATTTTAGGCTTTTTCAGCCTTTATTGTAGAGATAGGAGAGTGGAAAGAGTTGGACAGAGAGAGTGGGGAACGACATGCAGAAAAGGAGCAGTCGGACCCGAACACGGGTTGGCCACCCCGAGGAACACATCCCCAGCACATGCAGCGCCTGCCCCAACCACTTGGCCACCAGCGCCCCTGTGTTTGTATTGTTAATAATAATAATGTTGTAATATATTGTAGTTTGTCTGTGTCAAACTTTAGTGGTAGAAACCGACAGCCGAAGTTCATAGGGGTAGTAAATAACAAGGAGCTTCGCCAATCAGACGTAGCTATAAAACTCTCGGATTCTGGGTCGTGTAGTTTTCCCCCCTGAGATCTTGAATAAATCATGTTTTTCTTTAAACAAGGTTGCTATCATACACACTTCTCTTCTACAGGAGCATAGACCCTCGTTTCACACTCAGGTAGCTCGTGGTAATGACATTATGGGGAATAATCAAATCAGTTATGTAGAAAACAAATGGTATTTTTACATGTTTTAACATGTCATGCTCTGACACGGATATGCAGTACTGCTGATTGTTCCTTCGAAGGTCTCAGAATCCAGACGGCTAATGAGGCACATTTGAATGGAAAAGAAAACCACCCAGTCCAGGACTTCAAACGATACCACCAAGGTGGAACCTGTCTCCCAGAAACACCATTACATCTTTGAGCAACTCATTACATTTAATTCTTGGCAATGGCTTAATAGTGTTATTGTTCATTTCATTTACTTAAAATAACATCTACAGATAGGAGGTGCATTTAATGATTTGTAATATACAGGGAAGCCATGCTGGTAGTGTTCCAGTCGTTAATGGTCACTCCCTGGTTTCTCTTTAAAAGCCAAACCATCACTCGACTTTAAAGTCTTTTTCTATTTTTTTTTAATCTTTTCAAGCCAGTGCTTGGAAGAATCTTAATTGCTGCTCAGGATCTCTGGTGTGTATGTAGAGACTCTGAGGGAAATTTAAGCTAGTCTCTCATTCTCCATTCATTGCATTGAAACATCAAGGGCACTGAGGGGACGGGCTTGTTGCAGAGCTTCAGCTAAAGGTCCTCCGCTAATGAAAGTCTGGGAGTGAGATTGTGTGCTCACTGGTATTAGTGTGTGAGCAGCAACTGGGTCCTTTCTGTGACCTGTTAGAAGAGGCTATGAGGGGGGCTCATTACAGACCAGAGTATGAGGGGATAAAACTGTTTAGGCACTCTGCCAGGACTTGAGTGGACTGGATGGCAGCTCTTTGAAAACCTGCTGATCTTACATAACAACTATTTGTAAAGATCTCCTTGTGAACGACACAGCAATTGCAGTCACATTCTTGGGAGCCGAAGAACGCAGGCAATGAGAAAGCAAAAAAAAATAGCAACTCACTTTCCCATGAAGCACTTGGGAACAATACTGAGCTTCCGGCGTCTATCCTTAATGAGGTGTCGACTCTTGGTCATCATCATGTGGTAGAGCTTCTCGCCCTTCTCGGCAATCATCACATAAGCATCTCGTTCCATTCCCAGTTTGAGACCTTAAAACACAAAAGAGAAAAATGGAGCATAAGAGGGTTTGTCACCATTAATATCAATAGACAGCCTGATTTTGCCAAGTAGGACATGTTCCTGCACCAGCATCCCACAATGTGATCCTGGACAAACGTTGCAAACAACAATTCACAGTCATATGAATTCTCCATTGTGATCCTCTTTACTTTTTCCTAAATTTCTATTGGTTAGATTCAATCCCCTCTAAAACTGAGAACCTACCCAGAGCTAGGGTTATATGAGCTCCTGCAGGGTTGGGGACTTAGCTTGCCAACTAGATATGCAAGTAAACAAGTAAGCTTGCCAATTACCGACAATATTGTTCACTTGCATTAAAGGAGAAAAATGACACTATACGCTTTAAAATCCAAGAATAAGAATATCGAGTTATTTTTCTGCAATGCCTTTTCAAAATAATTTCAAACTAGCTCATTGGCAAGCTTGTTAGCATTGCATCCCTTGTTAACATAAAAACCCTGCATTAGCTCACAAAGCTACAGTTTTAGCTAAGTACTAGACTATAAACTATAAAATGCTGATAACTTAAGGGTATGGAGTTGAGGATATTGTAACTAACTTAGACTTTGAGAAGTCATCAAAGCACAATGTCACTTTGAAAGAAGTGCAGAAGCAGAACAATGATGATATCAGAGGGCTGCGATTCATTAAGCTCCATGTTGGTCCAGCACTGCGATCCAGGAACATGTCCTACTAGTGAAACATCACATGTGCACTTTGCTGTGTCATCAATGTCCAAGTCTCAGACTTTAAAAGACACGTTTCTTCTGACGGGGATGTGAGAGTAAAAATAAATGAACAAACAAAATCTCAGCACAGCACAGCGACTGTATCTTAATGCCAAGAAAAATACAGCAGACCCATTACTTGATTTTCAGAGCCATTTACACATATCAGGGCAAAAGGTAAAAGCTGTTATGGTGCTGTAAGAGGAGACAAGCATGCCTTTGGCCTGGTTGTGTTCTGGTATTGTGCAGAGGGAATGAGGCAAGAACAGAGCATGGAGACTCAAGTCTGCTGCAAACTTTTGGTGTAGATGTAAATCTCTCACAGACAAGCAGTTTTCAGGAGTTCAGGAGGGCAGTGTGATTCTGATCTTGTTTTTGCGTTGGCTTGTAAACTGTTATTCCTTGATTGTAAAGCAGAACATGTGAGGGTCCATTGTAACGCCTGCCACCCGACTACAACCTCTCTGTGAGTACACTGTTTGAGCTGCTTAACCTCAACAAGGGGTTTTGATGAACTTCTGAACCGTACTGTGAGACTTTGTGACTCGAGCGGCTCAACCCGGCTGCACTGTGACTCCCTAAGCTGCTTAACTCCTCTGAGAGGCAAAGAAATCTGCTGAAGAATTAAAGTATTCTTAAACAGACATCCAAATAGACTTCATAAAGAACAAATATTTGTGACACCTGGAAAAAAAAGTCCAACTAAAGATCTTGATCACTTTTCAACTAGCTTGCTTCCTTCCAGAAACAAAGAAGCTGAAAACTGTCAGACATCTATTTTTGTGTTGTTGAGTCTTGCTTGCATCAGTGAATTTTACTATTTCATGCAACTTCTTTATGTTGTTGTTTTTTCGCACAAAGTCTGATATTGTTTGGCCTACAAATCTAAACTGCTGAACTTGTTATTTCCTATTCGGCAGCTTTATGTGCATGCTAGAATTCAGCAGGTATTTCCTTGCAGACTTTGCAGACTCTGCAAACTTTAACAGTGAGTGATCCAATGGACCACATTTTGTTGTAGGTTTTCACCATTTTTATACATTTTGGAGGTTTACTACTTGGAGGGAAATGTATCCCCTTTTTTAGTGTAGATAACCAATCAGTGTTGATAGGAAAAGTAGTGTCAAGAAATCCTTCAGTGCATGCTATACTGACAGAGCTGTGCATTTACAAGGATGCATTGGTGCAAGCAGTTGCAGCCTCTGCCTTGAACCAGGTCAGCTTTATTCTATCGGCCGAATATGTAGGAAAGGTAGAAAGGCTAAATATCCATCTTCAAAAATTCAGTCATTGCAGAGGTTAGAAAAATCCACATCTTTATAGCCGGTTGGCCTTGTTACAACTAAGGACTTCAAAATCCATCTCTAGTGCAGTGAAAATCCTTCCAGTATTTTCTGTGTATTGCAAACTATGCAACTAGTGAAAACAACAAGCTGCATTTTGCCACTTTTGATATCTAAAGGTAGAGCTGAGTGGAGACTATGGGGCTGGAAGTCTGACTAGCTAATAGAGACCGACAGGATGAGACAAACAATGTATAAAGTTACACGGTTAACTCTTAAATCCAGTTTTCCCATTCAGTCTTTTGGGGTTCTGCAGTGGCAGCCCGTGATGGAGGTGGGGTTAAATTACATTTGACAGCAGCTGGAGTAGACTTAAACAATGAGTGTCATTGAACAACAGACGGGGGGCCCGACCAGAGCGGAGGCCCCCTCAGCTTCTGCTCCAGCTGTCAGAGTTTGTCTTGTGCCGCTCCTCGTCTAATACCCTATCGCATTATCTTGACCCACGCATTTTGACCAACACTTCCGTGAAAACAGTGATAAGACAGAATACCTCCAGCTGGCAGTGGTTGAAGAGAGGGAGGGGTCCAGGAGAGCTATATGCACGGCAAACAGGGAGGGCTACAGTGAAAAGGGTCCCATTGAACAAGGCGTGTCAGGGAAGGAAGCGATGCATAAAGAGGCAGAAGTTTAAAAAAAAAGTTGTTTTATTAGATTTATTGCGGTAAAACTTTATCATTTAGATGTCTAGACTGTAGTTAAGAGGGAGAGCGAGAGAGCAGAGAGTAGGGTAGAGAGGGTAATAGAAAGAGAAGGTGTGGGGAAATTGGGCACTGTGACTGATCTGGCATCTGTTAGCCTCAGGTCAATTTCCGCTGGGTTGAAACTTAACACCGCGGGCTGCAGCACGCTCCTCCGTACTTATTTGTACTCTGAAACCCTTTCTTCACAGGATCAGATGACGCAAACTCCGTGTGGATGCTTGTTTAAAGTCAAATTAGGAGGACTAATTCACAAAAATGCTAATGTTTGTGTTGAGTTACGCTAACATGCCTGCGCAGCTTAAACCTTTTTTTTCTGTTATCTCAAGCCAAGTCATGCTAATGATCCAATAGCTTTAGGGCTCCTGTTTAGATTTTTCTTTTTAGCTATCAATGCTATCGGATGACCTATGTTGTATTCTGCCCCAAAATCTGTTTAAAGCCTCTCACACTGTCTGTAGCACACAACATTACAAAGACAGATGGCCAGTGCTGAACAGGTGGGGACACATTTTAAGACAAAAGAGGGAACTCGAACAACAAAGGGAAAGCATTTAAAGGAGCACCAAGGATATCCCTTTACATTACTAATCTGATATTAGTGGAGGTGCTGTTGTGTGGGGTGTTACTGTCAATGACGGGGGGGGGGGGGGGGGGGTGTTTTCATGCACATTTAGTTGACATTAAATATGCACCAAATTTTCTGCACAATCCTCGACTTCCTCCACATTTTAAATTAGTGAAAATGGATATGACTCTTGCAACAAACAAACGCTCACATTAATCAAAGGTGTGCATGACGGACTGAGCTTCATTTCCTTTTACAAGCGAATGCTTTCCTATTTTAAGCAATTGACCAAGATGCCGTTTTTAGCACACCTGCTGTTTGTGAATGAGTCACATCTCACCAAAAGCTTTCATCAGTAAAACATCACAGGTGCACTGTTTTTTTATCTTTTTTTAAAGTGAGGATCAGATTGTTAAAGCAGTATTTGTTTGGCGCACAGGTCAACCAGGCGGACTGTAAACGTCACAACGGCTAAGCCTCTATTTATGAAACAAAGGCAGGCAGCTTGTTCAAGGTGGGACATAACTGCAGGACACAAACGGAGTGTATCCAGGTCAGAAGCACAGCCACGGTCATTACTGTATGCCAGCAAAGGGGACAGTGATAGTAAGTGAATTAGAGGTGACACCAACATGTAGGCCAACATAAAGAGAGTGGTGAAAAAGCCTCACGACTGCTAAACTACGTCGACTCATCAGGAATGCAGAGGCCAAAACTGGAACCCATTAAATGTGTTTCCAAGGACAGAAACATCCGACTCCATCTTTTGTCAGTCAAATTAGATTCATCTGCTTAATACACAAACACCTTTTGTTCAATTAAGTGCTTCTGCAAATATATATATTAGCATCATGTTTGACCTCTATTAAGCACCTTTTGCAAAACATCATTTAGCACCTTCCTGTGCGTTTCACATTCAAGATTAAAAGTGAGAAATTTATCTTAGGCTCTTCACCCATTCTGCTGTTTAAAGTCCCTTTAGTTTTTTAACTTAGTGAAAGATTTTAACCCAATGAAAGATTTGAGTCACCTAGCAAACTAAAGCAAGATCCGAAACTGAGCTGCTCTGATTGGATGCTGTGAAAGTGATTTTGAATGACTTGGATGCAGGTTCACCTGGCTGTAAATTTTCTTCTTGACATATAAAGGATTGGGAGCTATCTTAATAAAAACAAAATAGCTTTTTTAATGCATTAGTCATTGTCTTTTGAATGTATTTAATCATGTATCTTGGACTATATATTTGACTTGGCCCAGAGACTCTTGAAAAAGAGATTTTTAATCCCCAGAGGTTTCTAGCAACAGCTCAGCTAAGAGCCTCCTAACCAAGCTGATCATTGAGTGACTTCCTTTGATTCATTAACTTTAAGGGTGCACCCAAACACACATTATAGTGTTGGCCTCACTTTTTTATTGACAGGTGATATCAGAGAATGCAGCTCAACATTGCAGTGAGCACACACAATGAAATGTGGTGTCAAAAGACGAAAGAGGATCTTGCAAGAAATTAAAAAAAGAGTGACTAAAAATAACGGAATGGAGAGGAGCAGGAGGTACTTATTTACGCTCAAGCGCAAGTTTATTTGGTACACCTAATTAAAACTGCTGAAGTCGAACACAACAGTCCGCCTATAAAATCAACATCATGAATGTTCTGTAGCTTTTGATTGGAAGAGCTTCAGAAAGGTGTTGATCTTTTTAAGGAGTTTGGTGAATCATGTTTGTGACACTCAGCTCGCCCTCGTTGAAACAACAAAAATCATAGACATTGCTCAAACCTGGAGGTAAAGTTTGGTGGTACCATATCTTTTTAAGCAAGACAACACCAACAACACTTTTTATGATGGGATTAAAAAAAAGGTTATTTCTTGTTTGACACTTCCATGAACCACAAAAGCTACAAGAGTTAAAAAGAGTTACTCACTCTCTCTCTGTTCCCGTTCCCTCAAGATGGCATCCAGCCACTTCTGCTTGTCCTCTGCATTTTTGGCCATGCAGACAAACCACTTGTTCTTCGCAGTGTTGTGGATCTTCCAGCCGTTAGTCACCGTGTAGTTATTACTGTGATAGTCCGCTGCAAGGGGGGAAAATAATCAAGCAATTAATTTGAAATAAAGAAGGAAGATATTTAATAGAGTAAGGCTGAGGGATATGTAATAGGCCCATATTGGAGATGCCTTTTGGGTTTTGGGATGTACTTAAAACATCATTTGCAAGTCATCTCTTTTGCTCGAGCTTGTTTGTTCTACTTAAGAGAGAAAAACCACAGACACACGCTCCACGTTAGCTCTGACCTCAGTGGTAAGTAAAGGAATTGAATTGCACGTAATCAAATTACAAGTGAGTAAGTTAACATTGAAGTTATCTCTAAAGAAGATTCAGCATTCGAGCGGTGATTTACAAGCCAATTAAAAAGATAAACGTGATGCACCCTGAGAGCAGAAAGACACCGTCTTTCCACTGACTCGACAAAAACCTCTCCTCGTACCCCTGCTCTAATTTTATCATCCATTTAGCTGCAGGTGAGTTGCTGCTGAATAATGAATGGCCACTGGTAATGGGGTGCATTAGTCTCACACTCAAAGGTCATATAAATAGATCTGATACTTCAGGGCCCCGCAGGGAGCAGCTCCTGCTGATCTGTGGGAGTGAGGAACAGAGACTGGACACACATACTACTGAGTCTCTTTTTAGCCACCGGGGGGGAAAAGATGGATTCTAAGAAATCTTATGTAAGTACATGCTGAGATCTGTTAAGGAGGTATTGATCAGGAGGGAGAGGCGTATGAGTCAGTCAAGAGGGGATTTAAAATATTCCCCCTAAGTTTGTATTTAAATATTGGAGCAGGTTGCAGGTAAGAGTTTCTTTACCTGTGTATCGGTTAGCATTTTTAAAGAGAAACCTGATGTTTTTATTCAAGCCGTCAGCAGAGAAAACCCTCAACCCTTCATCTTCATCTTCACACTTGATAGTCAGATAAGCTGTGTTCTAGGAGTTCACACATGTCTGTTTTTTTCAGTATAGGACCACTTAGTTCTGAGAATAAGGCAGCATGTTTTTCTTTGCGGTTTCCCCTTCAGCAGCCTAAATGTGACAGCCAGCATGCAGAAAAAAATAAAGGAGTCATGTGAGCTTGCAAAACACGCTGCCAGCGCAAAGAAGAGAGAAGAAAAAGAGGAAACATGTGAGCGAGAGGAAGACAAAGTGTTTCCACACCAGCATACGGCTCATACCGAGCTCAGCGAGGTGCCTCACAAACAAACCACAACAGCTAAACGAGCCGACAGAGGTCCGTATCTCTGCAGGCCCCGTAGATGACACTTTGGCACATTGCCTAAAACAATAACAGAGCACCTTAACTTTATCACCTTTTTTTTTTTTCAAGGATCGCTTGTAATCTTCAGATTTGTATCAACACCTGAACGTATGACCGAGGAGCTGACATGAAAAGGTGGTACATGAGCGTGTTGCGAGCTACATCCTGTTTGAAACTAGGTGCAAGTTTGATACTCCACCCAAACTGTCAACAAGTACCTGATTCATATCCAACAGCCAGTTTATAAACAGACGGTTTCTAAACTAAGATGTGAAATAAAAAAAAATGGACACTGCAGGCTGTTATTTTCTATCAAAGTGAACACATCAACACAGTTAAGAACTTAAATGAAATATGTTCAGAATTAACCAAAAACGCTTGAAAAATTACAAAAATTCGCTGGGACGGGAGAGTTGCATGAATGGACACATAGACATTCCCCAAACGTAACTCTGCTGGGCAAACACAAACCTGTTCCATCCTCCACATTTTCCACCTCCATCACCTCCGTGTTGATCCTGCCTCTGAACACATAGAGGGGCCCGTTGATAGATTTGGTCCTCTTGGTGGACTTCTTTCCAGAAACCCTAGGAAATGGGCCAACACTGTGGTTACTCTCAGCAGGAAAAAACATCCGCTGGTGCCAGTGCTACGATGAGGAGAGAGCTTTGGTCTGTAACACGTTCATGCAGATACAGCTATGCAGACACATGGAGCTCTGATTGGTTTCTTTGCATAGTAAAAAGCTGAAATGTGGAAATTTGCCACAAATGTTCTGAGTTTCGTTTCTTCCCTAGCTGGTCAACAGAAATTAGAAATATTTTTTCCATGTTGTCCTTTTCTCTCTTCTTGACCCACTGCTGTGGTAGCTATGGTTTGTTGTCTGAGTCTTACCAATACCAACACTGGTGCAGAAAAAGCCTCTAATCCAGCCTTCAAATCAGGAATCAGTATCTGTAAGCACGACAGTCCAGTGTACTGATAACAACTTGTTTCAGTAGAATTAAATGATCCTTTACTTTCTGCTTGTCATTGTGGTTTAATGCAGATTTTTGTATATGTGAACCACCAACCTGCCAAGGGACTACAGATGGAAAATAGCCTATGGCTAAAATCTGGCACATTTACATATTTATGTTAATCAATGTACACTGTCCCTATATTAGATGATCTTGTTTTAAGTCTTTGGCTTGTTTTTTTTTGTCGTTCAGATACGCTTAGCGTAAGTGTCCACTTGAGGCTGGCTGAGAAATAAAAGGTCCCATTGATGCCTGAGTTAAAATGCCTGTTTTTACAGCAGAAATAAACATTTTTACAGGCTGGTTAAAAAAATGGGTCGGTCTTTTTAAAACTCCTTAATTTTGATTATATTAAGACCAAGAGTTAGACATAAATAACAGGTATGCAGGCTGTAACTGTTTACCAGGAGGATGAAGGCTGACCTCAGCTCCACCTCTTAACCTGTTTCTAAGTTGACCGAAAATGACTTTGAGACAGCATTATTACTACGGTAACCACTATTGTTTGGCCTCAATACTCGCAATACTCAATACTTTCAATACTGATGAAATTGCACTGGAACATATTAAACGGAAGTGGTTGTCCTCACCTGGACTTCCTCTTGCAGTAAACCAAAAGGTTGTCGAACAAGAAGAAGATGCGTTCCTGGATGTTGCCAGCTGAGATTTTGAGCAGATTTCCGTGAAGCAGCAGCTCTGTGCAAATATCAGTCAGGTTTGTTCCCTGAAGAAACAAAAAAAGGAAGGTTGAGGAAATGAGCTACATTATCACCGTAACAACAGAAGAGTTATTAAACGTCAGGTGGCAGATTTATCCACTGAATACAGAGTCGTCACGCTCATGAGCTACACACACAGTTTTGTTTTATCTGAGCAGAAAAATGGAAACTCTGATAACACTCTCGGTCTAAATTTGGAAGACGAAAGAAAAACAGAGTCGCCTGTATCAAAACTTGAAGAGTTCACAACCTCAATGAAACAATGTGAAATTCCTCTTTGACATTTTAAACAATTTGTTTTCATTCTGTTCTCAATGATAGGAAGAAGTAAACACAGCTGCTCCCCTCCCAACTTTAATTGAAACTCACTGCAAAAGTGTAAACATATCTGCAGGGGCACTGTTGTGTTTTTAAACTTTGCTCTTATATTTGGTTCTTATTGACTAAAAGGTATGAACAGTTTTAAGAGACTGGTATGGGTAGGCAGTCTGTGATGACATCTTCTTTTAAAAGTGCTTGTTTTTCCTAGTAGAGGCTCAAAATACCTTGCTGTAAAGGTGAGATGCTGTGACAAATTTCTCTTGAAAGCCACCAGACTCCATTGATAAAAACTGATGTCACCCCACCGGACGTGGAGTTGCAAGCCTCAAACATTGCAAAAGTGATGTTTTAAAGGGTTACTTCCAATCTGGCACAACACAATACCAGTTCCAGTTCCTCAATTCCTCAACTTGAGAAGCTACAAACTAAAACCTAGCTGTCCTACACTGAGTCTTGTCAATGCATAGCAGCTGGAGAGCCCTTTAAGCATTACTGCAGGATTTGAAAGGCCTGGAGGAGCTTTGAGTAAAATCATAATGAAAGTGTTAATTGGAGCTGTCACCTTTGGGACTCTTGTTTTAGAAACAAACAAAGCTTTAATATCTTCTTCTCAGGGTGTAAATCCAACAGCTTCAAATACACATTACATAAGACTGCGTGTGCAAAGAGGAAAGAAGTACACATGCAGCTAAGGACTGTATGTGGAAGTGCTTTAGTCTCGCTCTTCTCCCTGCAGCAGAACATGATGAAATGCTTTGTTCATCTGTGTTACAAAGGGGGGAAACAATGATAGAAGATTTGGATGCAAAAGCCTTGTCCACTTCTCTGCTCTTATTGAAAAGAGGTTTTATCACTGGTTTGTCAGTCTTAATTCTTCCACCTTCACAGGATGTGTTCATATCTTTATTTAACGCTTGTCAGCTGTCAAATACACCACAACCTGAAGACACTGAAAAAAACATTTGTCTCTCTGAAGCAGGTCGCTAGGCTAAGAAACCACACAAGCATTGGCCTTTTACTGTAAACATAGCGGACTGCTACAGCTTCAGCAATGTACAGCATTTATCTGTTCAATTTAAGAGGTACATGTTCTGTATCAAATCATCTGAAAGACATTTATCATGAAGGATGAACAGATGATGGAGTTCTGTGTCTCATTTTAATGTATTTCTAAAGTTTAGAACATCTGTATTTACCAAACTGCTCTTTGAAGCTTTCAGTCTTTGTTACAGTCAATCTGAAACTGTTTTGCATTGTGTCATATTAACCTTTCCTTAAAGTGGCTGAACTTTAGTTACCAGTTATTCAAATTACTAAGGCGTTACTCGTTTCAGAAAATCAATTTCAGAATTTTGTTTTTTTACTCTGGAGAACACAAAATGTTTTTACAGATACAAGCATGAGCAACCGTGCAGCCACATTCTCCTACCTGAGCCGTCAACTGCAGATTTCATTATGTTATCAAAATCTAAACAAGCAAGGAAAGCGAGGATTTAATTTAATGACTCTACAGAGTCCAGGAGCAGCAGAAGGTAAACATGCTGCTCGCCAAAGCTGTCAAAACATGGCTACTAAAGCATTTCATAAAAGACATCTCATTACTCATTGTTAGACGGATCATTCCCCTCCAAATCAACTGGAACTAAACACACCCATGTGTGGACTGAGGACCACCCCGCCCCCCACCATCCACCCTCCACCCTGACTCTTGGCAACCACCCTCTGACCACCCCCCCCTAAAGGCACACACATATACATTAGAACTAGACTCAACCATTGTCTTTGATGTTTCTAATACAGGTCCACCAGAGACCCTCTGTGGAAACCCCCCGTTGACCACACCCACGCTCAAGCGTCCATAATTGATTCCCATGAGTGTACTTTTATGATGGATGTGCATCGCTACAGAGTTCATTGAGAGAAAAATGATTCTGGGAGCTTTTCTAAAAAGGTGCATACCAACAGAGTCGGGGGGGGGGGGGGGGAGAGATTGTGTTTCAGAGGAATTGATTCAACCTCATGTAAACTGCACTCAGCTGAGGTGAGTTGGCGGGGGCATGAGTGTGCGTGGAGGTCTATGAGAATACAGAGGTCAAGCTTGTACCATGCTCTGCAGTTTGTGTGTGTTAGCATGTCCATGTGCACTTTCATACATTTTTTATGTTGAATACATGGTGGCGGTATATGTGTATTTATGTCGGTATATGTGCGCGCTTTGTCTCAGATGCGTCTAGGCCTGATTCTGCACAACTGGCGTCCCCTTCCATTAGGGCTGGAGGTGATTATCCAGGAGAGTGGCTGCAGAGAGGAAGGAGGAGCAGAACTAATGCTGTAAGGTTAGCAGCTCGGCAGGGCCGGCGGTCGAGGGTGGGCGGGGGGGTAGAAGTGCCTTTCCGAGCTTCTGCTGAGTAGTTCAGAGGAAGAAGACAGATAAATTGCCTGTCTTTGCCAGCAGAAATTACAGTCTTTACAAGCCTTTACCTTTATTTAAGCAAATGTTGGCTGCAAGCTGTGTAATGACAACATCATCTGAGTCCAGTGATCAATTATGTTCAAGCTTTCTAGACAAGGAAAGGATTTAAATCAAGTCACTCACAGAAACACTACTTTACAGTAGGTTAGGTCTGCATCATCCTCAAACAATTACCTTTCGTACCCGTAATTATTTTTGACCAAGTAATTCATCTTTTTCATGTATAAAATGTAAGAAAAAGTTACGATTCCAATCATATATTACCAGTGTCCAGACTGAAGTCGTCAACTTTAACTTTGTTTTTTTAAGCAAACTCAAAGTCTTCACATTTTTAAATCTCTTTGGAATAACTCTGCACAATGTCTAACAAAATGATTAAATTTAACAGCATAACAGGATAATCCATTTAGCGCTGCCTGTATTGTTCTTGGGACATACTGTAAAATAAGAAATGGGGACATCATGCAAGTTAATCCACAAAGCATGGAGTGAAAAAATAATAATATTAATTATTCAACCCGAAAGGGATCAAAAATATTCTGTATGATCTGGTACAGTCAATATTTTGCTGCTAACCCTTTGATAAAGTTAAACAGAGGAACTCTATAACTCCCAGTCTGCCTCAGTTATTTTCCTTGTTCGGCTTTTCTTAAATATTTCATTTTTGACTTCCTTATCTGTTTTTTTGTGTCATTTAAAAAAAAAATTGTTATTTGTTGACTGGGATTTTGCATTTCCTTGTGTTTTGTCCTTTTCTCTGTGACTGTAGTTTTTTTTAAAGGTGATACATGAACAGATTTTGTAGAAATATTATTGATGTATTGAAGCCAAATTCTTTAAGTTCTTGTGGTGGTCATTTCTAAGTATCACATTGTGACATTCGCCCAGAGGAAGGGAGAAAACAAGTTTTGATTTTGGCAAACAGATAGTGGGATGTCCTGATGGGGCCCTCTCCATAGTTTCATCCTTTTTGATTTTCTTCCTCCCCCCCTGATGGTCCCCTCACATAACCCTCCCTGTGCATGTGAGACTCGAGTTCTTCTTCCTAGGTCTCTTCTGATTGGGCTGTACGCCCGTTGGCATCCCCTTGGCACCCTGAGTGGGTGGATTGTCCCATTGGTGCCGGCTGAGACAAGGCCTCTGTTGTGGTGGGTGAGGGAGGCGTGAAAAATGCACTGGACCCTCCGCTCGGCTCCCAAGCCCTGACCGTGGCCCCAGAGCCCAGAGGAGTGATTTGGCTTCAGGAGCGGTTAACTCTTACCATAGACAGAAACTGTGCAGGTTTTCATATTTCTTTAAGCTGGTTGTTTTTGATTTTCATTGTAGTGTTAAAGAACTTTCAGCTGTTCTTTTGGCAGATATCATGTGCAAATAATGCTCGAGTTGCATTTGAGGATGCTCTAAGAAAGTATGTCATTCTTGTTTTCCATTTGTGCCCTCTAAATGTCAAAGCAGCGCCCCGAACCGTTCTGTCACTATCTTTCAGCTCTCAAGGTTTCAATTATTAGCCTTTTTCCTCTTTTGTCAACCTCTATCTTCCCTCCTTGTGACATACAAGCCTCCTGAAGACTATTGTCTTGTTCTTTCCTATCCCCCCCTTCCCCTCTGTCCGTCTAACGCTCACCTCCCAGCCCTCAATGTGAGACTGCAGCTGTTCCAGAGCCTCCAGTTTCTCCATCTGCCTCTTGGTCTCATTGATGTTGGAGCAGACAGCCTTCATGGCCTGCAGAGCCTCTTCCACCGCTGGGTAGTCAGCATGCTTCTTAGGGGTCCGCTTCAGCAGTTCCTAGGTTTTTTGGAAAGGAGAGAAGGTCTTTAAAACAGAAATCAAAGACTTTCTGGCAGCAGGCACATGAAATATATTTCTGTCTGTCTTTGAGGGGCTTCAAGTGTTCTGTGACATTTAAAACAACTTCTTCCTGAGAAGTAGAGAAACCTCCACGCCTGCAGTCGAAAACACAAGAAGGTGGGGGAGATCTCTTCTTGAAATGCCAGCGGGGAAGAAGGTTCCCACACCAACAATCCCCTACCTGAGTTACAGGTTTTAATCAATTCATAATATGCATGATGATCTACATTACATCCACATTTCATCATGGCTCATGTAAGTGTAGATCAGGGTGGTGTGAGCCTGTTGTGCAACGCCAAACAGAGCTGGTGTAATTGCTTGACGACAGCATCATGACATTATTGCAGCAGCTGTTCTGTACCTTCAGTAGCAGAGGGTACTTGCAGATCCTCTGAATGGGGGTGAGAAGGTAACCTTCCAGGGGAATATCTGTGCTTTTCTTCCCTCCCAGAAGCATACAGTGCTGAAAGTGAAACACAAACCACAATATTACTCCCAAGACTGATCCAAATTGTATTAAACAAGAGTATATTCATAGCCTGACGGTAGGAGGAAGAAATGTTACTGAAATGCAAGATGTATGGTGGCAGAGAGGTGAAAATGAAAACGGCTGGAACGACTAACATTAAGAACACGCATAGCATATTCAAGAACTGCAAATTTAAAAGCAAATGCAAACGTTTAAAACAAATGCAACAGGTGACACAAACATGCTGGAAAGAGCTGAAAGAAATGCATTAGCATCAAACTAGCTGCAAAAATAAATAAACAAAACTAAGTCATAAAGATGTATAGAAGAAGAAGAGATCCTTTAAAAATCCTGCGAGGGGAAATTGAATGTTACTCTCTGTTCTCACAAACATAGGCTGACCTACACACACATGCACAAACAGGATCCTGTGGATATGCACTACTGGAGACATGTCAGAGTGAGGGGGCTGCCCACAGCGAGCGCTCCTGAGCTGGTGGGGATTTGGTGGCTTGCTCAAGGGTACCTCTGCAGTGCTCAGGAAGTGATCCAGCACCTCTGCAGCTACCAGAATGATTTTTCCAGACCTGACTCTGTCCACACCTGGACTTGAACCAAAGACTCTCCAGTTCCCAACCCAAGTCCCTACAGACCTAACTATACACTGTACAGTCTATACACTGTACAGTATACAGAAAGAATCTGACATTCAAAGGCTAACTTTAAGAGTAACTACATTTAAAACTTATTTTTGTTCAAATGTTTAAACCAGAAAAGTTTGTCCAGTTTACTCCTGCTTTATAATGCATCATGGTTCATTTACATGGTAAAAGAGTACATTTTACATTTCCCCACTATTTTAAAACTCTTTATTATCTAAGAAAGCATCCGTGTGAAAATCTATTTTGAACACACAGCTGTTTGCGTTGCCATCTCACAGCCATTTGTGTGTTTTTTTTTCTGCAATAAATTACTTTAATTGATTGTTGTTGTCGTTTCTATTCAGTCACAGTCTGTCGCACCGGCAGTGTATCTCTATCTGGTCCAGGTGCAGCACCACGATTGTCTCAGTTTGTTAGAGGCGGGAACGAGTGAGGTGCAGTGCATTTCCATATGTCTACTGCTTTTAAACAACAAATTATTACCGGTACCCCTGTATGCAGATTGAGATATGCTCTCTATACGAAAAAAATGCATTTGCAAAGGTGGAGAAAGTGTTTAAACTGCAGTGTTTTTTGTTCTAATGAGAAACCAAGTGAAATGTGAGATTATCCAACATTAATTGTCATGTGGTATTTGTCTTTTCTTTCAGTAATGATTATTTCTTTGATTGAACATTTTATCAATATATGGAGCCGCTGGAAGAGTCCGTCGTCTCTCAAGTCCAGTTACCATTTACCATTAATTTAATCACAATCAATGGATAATCACAGGTTTATCTGTTTGGTAGATTTGTTTATTCATCTGCGAGAACTGAGCGATAATGACGTATGGTAACCTGACTTCATATCACTGATGACTCGGGCCGATACCGATATCGATATTAGGGAGAAGAAAAATCGGATATCGATATATCGGCCGATATCTTTCTTAGATCTGTCTTCGATCTGAAAAGATAATTTGATATAGATATCCACATTTATTGTGTTGATGCCTCAAATGCCATTATCAAACACTTGTGGAAAACATTTATAATAAAGAAAAGATGGTCACTCAACTGAAAAGTAACTGAGCATGTACGAGCATCAGCGCTTGACACTCTAGAGAGTGATGATGCTTATTGGTAAAAGAGAACTGCTAGTGTAACACAATAAAACTCAAATGAAATGCTATTTGAGAGCTGAATATATCGAGTAATATCTGCACATATCTGCAATAAAATCAGCCGATACTGATAGTTACTTGATATGCTTGTATCGGCCAATATTATCGGCTGGCCGATCAATCGTCGGGCTCTACCGATTACAACTTTCTGTCACCAAATATCTGTGTCACTGAAGTTTATTTTGTTTTATAAAATTGTTAAAATCACTTTCAGGTCTGTTTCAAACACATTTTTAGATTTCCGTGGATACATGACTAAAGTGTTCTGTATACTTTTTATATATTGAAAATCATTATCAACAGCAAAAGATAATTTCCTTTTGTATCTCATAAAGTAAAGTAAGGAGGTTAAAAGATACACGTTTGTGTCATTTTTAAGCCGGCTTGTTTTGACACACAGCTCTACATCTCTAACTATCTGTTACTATATTTCTTGTACTATACCACCGCAAAAGAAACAACCCTCCATCATATCGAGTCTTTCAACAAAAGGATTACTGAGAAACCTCCTAAAAGCCTTCTCATTCCCCAGAAGATTTGGGCTTTACCAAACTGGACCACAGAACCAGTTAAAAGGATGATTTTTCTTCAGAAGAGAGGGAGGAGGAGGAGGGGGAGGGAGGGCGTACAGTTACAGTCTGCGCCTTGAGTTTCGCAGGAGCGCAGCCTGTCAGTGTGCTATGAGCTCATGGGATGGGATGAAAGATCAAACGCAGCCATGCAGATAAACCACTCGAGTGTTCTCCAGTGGGAAAGGAGGCAGGAGATCGCTTTAGAGCATTATATTCATATGGCAATTCCTTTCAACTCCACACGGAGCATGAGAAGCTGGAGGGGGGGTTTGTTAAGTGTCTCTGATGGAAAAATGAGCAACAACCCAAGTGAACTTTGGGGTTCCACTCATTCCTAATGTGCTCCTCTCCCACACGCCCATTTCCATCTAAATCCTTCCCTGACTCTCTTTTCTTCTTCCCTCTCATGTTCTGCTTATTTGTAATCTTCCACAACTCCCTCTGCTCTTCACTCTGACCTCCTTCTGCTTTCACGTTTCTCTCCTCTCCTTCTTTTCCAAACGTAATTAACAAGACTCCATTTCTTCATGCAGTTTCAGAGGCTCTGTTCATTGTGTGAATCAATTAGCATAAAAATAGTTTCACCAGGAATTTAATTCCAGTGGAATTAAACACAGCTGAAAAGACGCCAATGGCAATTCATATTTCAACGCCATTAAATGCTAATACAACGATTAGCAATGGTCACTGATTTAAGAAATGAGAAACCGCCATCCTTTATTTTCAGCTTTTCTTCAAGAGGGAACATTCTAACTCAACTTATACTGTGTACCAAACCTGAATTTTGACAGTCAATTCAAATGTGGCCGTTCCAGCACAACACTAAAGTCCTATCAGCCGGGGCGCTGTATATGACTTGTGCCCCATGAACGGAGGCTATGGTCCTCGTGTGGTCCACAGCGGGTATGCGAGAGTGGGGGGGAGATCATCCCCCACCCTCTCCTCCCAACATTTCCTGTCGCTCTTCAAATGTCCTATCGAATAAAGGCAATATCACCAAAAATATATATTAAAATAAACTCCTATCAGCTTAGATGGCTAGACACTAAAACCTTTCCATCTTCTGATTCCTTATTATTTGTATTCATATCATTCGTTCAACAGGTTTCGAGATGAAATATATTGTATATATTAAACATTGTAGGTAAGTCACGTCAGCCATCTTAACAACATGCTCCCTCTTCTTTAAATATCACAGTAGAAAACAAAACAAACTGATAAAACTCCTCCTGGGTCTCTAAGTGAGATTCAACAGCTGCTCCTGACGCTGTTAGATGCTTCTTTTGGATTGTTCGGAGCATGCTATCACCTTAACTGGTGAGTTTCCTGCAGGACACGCTGATGTTGTTGCTCCCGCCTTGTCCTGTGTGCTAAAAAAACACACAGACTGAGCTGACAACAGGCGAGCAGACTCTTGGTCCTCTACACTAATGATTTGAATCATCAACCTTTGAAGGTCAGACTTTATAAATAGATGATGCTTTGTGGTTTTGCATTTGAATATTTGAATCAATCTTGTTTCTATTTTGCTCTTGGTTGCTACACAAAACACAACAGCAGGTCCAATATCTGAGATTACACCGAGCAGGTCTGACAACAAGCTAACACATAACCAGATGTTATGATTTTATATTGGAAGGATTAATGTCACACAACACCAAACCAATTAATGGCTGCTTGAGCGAGGCCAGGTGGACACAAAAAGCCAAAGCACACAGCAACACTGTGATCCCGATGTTTCCTCTGCTGTGGGTCAGAATAATGCCAGGGAAGTAAACCATCAGGCAGCGATAAACGCACCGCCTCTGATCTCTCCGCCAATCCCATAAACGCTGCCAACACTTCACAGCTGGCTGGCCCAGACTCTGCAGATGATTTCATTGGTTGGACCCCCAACTCAAAGGGGGCCTCAAACGCCATTCAAAGTTCATTCATTGTCCAGGACCCAATGGGTCGGGAGTCGGAACACAGCTGGCAACGGAAACACTACAAGAGCGACCTTGATGGTGGCTGCATCCTGTACAGGCAGGAAGAACCTTGTGGCTTTGTTGTGGTTACTGCTCTTTAGTCAAGTGTTAATATGGAAATAGAGGTGATATGATGGAAGGAACAATGAGGAAGAGGATGAATAGTTGATGGAAAAAAAGAAATAAGCATGAAGTGAGTCACTGGGAGGAAAGAAATGTAGGTCAGAGGAAGACCATAGAAAAGAAAATGAGGTGAGAGGGTTATGTGGGCAAACCATAACTAGAGCAACAGGATACCAGAGGCACGAGAAAGAATGAGAACACAAAGATAGTTATGCATAATAAATAGGGTAAAAGTCATAGTCATAGCGAGAAGAGGGAGGAAGCCCTCAAAAATGTAGAAGAAAGATGGATTTGATGGCTCAGGATTGGAGAAACCATGCGAAGAAAAAGGAACGAAAAAGAGAGAAGCTGTGGTGACTTACCAGCAGGAAGGTCCTGATGTTGGGGATCTTGTTAAGCTCCATGAGAAGCCGTAAAGCCTTCTCATGGTTACTGCAGTACTCGCCGTACACCGAGAAACTCTTCCTCTGCAAAACAGGAAGAAAAAAAAAAACACAGGTCAGGATTGCAAACCATGGGACTAGATAGCATGACTCTAGTCACACAGCATGTGCAAGAAGGAAATGTGCAGCTTTAGGGCCCGTGTTTACTAATGGCCTGGCAGTGCTCACATCTTCACTGCTCACCGGCATTTACTGTTGTTGGGTTTTTGGTTTAGAAATTGTGTCCTGGCATTAGCAGCAGCTCTAGACCTCGACGTGGTACCCAAAAAGAGACGAGTCTGATAAGTACTTCCTGCTGTTGACAAAGTTAGTATCAGAAGTCCAGTACCTTCTTGATTTTGATTGGTCGATGAGAATAAAAATGTCATGGACAAGCATGCCGTTGTTCCAAAAGTTGAGCTATTTTCAACTGAGAGCGCTATGAGCTCAGCGACAAACAGCTGATGCATTACGGATCTAGAGCACCAAAAACGCTGTGTGCACTGGTTTTGTATAGAAAATGAGAACTGCAAGAGAAAATACTGTATAAATGGAAACAGGCCATTAAGTATAAAAGGTAAATGACAATAAGTTGGGCTGAAGTTAAATGTGCGCAGGGTAGGAAGTTGCGGAGCCGAGTTGTGCGTTGTATAAAGGTTGGAGCCAGATGAAAGAGACATTGGCATTGTATGTGTGCAAACAATCAGTAGCCAACTCACAGCTAACCTATAACGACCAAGAGCGTCAAAGTCATTCACTACTGAGCAGAGGACGAGATAAACCACCATTTAACGGTTGTTAAAGCACCATTATAATCATTTTAGAAGCACTGTTGCTGCCCCACATGCCTCAGAAACATGCGCATACGGTCCAAACTCCCTCACCTGGGCAGCAGTTACTGGTGCTGTTTGGTTCAAGTGTAAAAAAAAGCAAAGCTGGCATTATACCCGGCCCATTTATGCAGCATTAATGAGGGATCTCTGCATATCAAGGGCTCATATTTCACTGGCTGGTTTGCAGCCTTGAGGGATAGTTTGAGACAACTGACAGGAGGAGGAGGATGATGATTGACAGGGCAGAGCAGAAACTGAGGGGAAAGCAGTTATTACAGTCAGATGAGTTTCTGTCGGACTACAGTGAAGAAAAGTGTTGGATAACTGCACGTTCACAGCTGCCGTTGTTTATTAATATGAGCAGTGCTAGTAGCATCATTAGCTTTAACTATGCCAGGCTGTCATGCAGAAGTGCAACTGTGACACTGATTAGACAAAACTACAGAGCGACCACTGACTGTCAAAGCTTTTAAATGGAATTCATCTACACTTCTCTTTTCTAAAGTAATGGACAGGGGTGGAAAAAAAAATGCATGTCATCATTCAACATTTCCTCTTTTTACAAGGTGACAGCATCACACTGTACAGCCAGTCCAAACAACCCTACACCCAATAAAGAGCTTTTGTTGAGCTGTCATTTACTCTTCTTTACCCTGTGTAATACGACACCTGGGCCTGATAATGTACCGAAGCTTTAAATGCATTATTCATACAGAGTGCCATAGATAACAATGTATATATACAGTACCACAGCTGCAGTTTGATTTCCAGCCTGAAGTTTGTCGGAGCCTATTGTGTATATTCTTAACTGTGGGGCATATCAGTAATCAGGATGTGAAAGTGTGTGTGTGCTGGGGCTCGAGCTGCAGGTCTAGAAACTGAAACTGTCATTTGAAACAGCCTCATAAGTGAAATCCAAAACTGCAGGTGCCCAGACGCCCGCTTTCATCCTTAACTAAAAAGCTACAGCCCGAGGGTGTTGAATTCAAAGCAGGATTGGTCGTAACGCTAAATAGGAATAGTTGTTATTAGGTTTCTGCAACTGATCAGATTAAAAAGCTTGATAGCATCTTTTATGTTAGTTAAATAACACAGCTTTAAAAATGCAAATAGTTACCAAGCCAGAATCCTGGAGAGGCACACTCTTGGTTTTACACACAAACTTAACTACACAGCGCATGTCCCTGCACAGTGTATGTGTGTGTGTGTGTGTGTGTGTGTGTGTGACATGGTAGCCCAGCAGTGGTGACAGCAAGCAGCCAAAACAAAGCCGACAGCTCTTTTTATAGAACTCTGTCTTTTCTCGATCCCGTCTGCACCAGAAGCAGTTAAAAAAAAAAAAAAAGAAAAAACGTTTGTACATGTGTAAAAACAAGAGAGCGGCACAATGTAAACGGTGGGCTGTGTTGACCACACGCACAGGCTAGACCCCAAACACGCCCAAAGCCACGTTTGGAAAGGGGATTCCAGTCTGAAAGCACCAATGGGAGCAACAGCTGGGCCGGCATATGGTGAGAAACCCCAGATACTGTCAGAGTGAGTTAGTACACTACACGGAAAGAGGAGAACACATGGGGGGGTGAGACTGGTCAAGATGCATGTACCAGTTTAATCAATTTGTTTATGTCATTGCATAAGGATTCATTATCTGTATTCATTATAGTTCGACCACTGTAATAAAATTGTAAACACTTAGCTGAAGGACTATTTTGTTTTTTCTGAACATATCTGTACAAAATCAGCGTTTTAAACAGTAAAGCCTTACCCACATGTTGAAAGTGATGCTTACAAGACTAGCACAAACTGCGATCCAGCTGAATACAGGATGTCTCAATGCGTTAGGACAACAAATCATTTCAGGCTTTCTAATACAGCGAGGGGACGTGTCAGTGAAAGAGTACTGAGAAGGAATACTGAGACCAACTCACTAACAGAATACTTGAACAGAGGGGTCGTTTCATGACATTAAATTATAGCTACAGATATCAGTTGACACTAAATTGCTCCTGGATATGGTGTCACCTCAGTAGCTAGCTGCACCTGAAAACAGCGTGTCTTTTTGTTGCTATGTTTACAACCCCAGCCCACTCCAAGGTGTTTTCTTTTTCTCAAGTGACAACAACTGAATAGTCAATTCAGGCTCTGCTAAAGGTCTAACCGGGGCCAAAGTGTGGACCACAAAGTCAAATTTAAACACCAGGCCTACTACTCCTGAAAGGCTGAAAGACATCAGTGTACCCAGAATAGCTCAAAGCCTCGGGTTGTCCCTTTGATAAACGTGAGTCTTTATTCGAATTCTTCGTCTTCGGTGTGTTATTTCGGAGGCGATCACGGAGAAATCACAGAAAAAGTCAAAGCATAATGGGTGTAGTTCAGAAACTGCATAATGACACGACTGTTGCTTCGTGCACTGAGCTCATGTATACACTCACAGAAATAGAGCAAATATTGATGTCTCTGATTTCTCCACTAACATGAGTCACTTTTTCACCTTTGCAGAGGACGAGTAATCTCACACATGCTGTGATTTAAACTGAAAAAAAAATCTTTAGTTTCTTGTGAAACTATCAAGCTTCAGTTAAAACTGTCCTGAGTTAATAAAAGTGAAGACGAAGCATTTAAAACAATGACAACTGTTGTATTTATTTGAACTCAGGATGAAAATTTGGATTTTTTTTTTTTTTATTATTCTCTACATCTGCAACCTCCCGATCAATCTTGGCAACATCTGACTTTGAATAGCAATGAATCTTCCCATTTATCTTCCCTAAATGTGAGTGGCAGACAGTCTAGTGGAACAATGCGGGAGGTTAATCAAATCCCAGTCATGGTGTTGACCTCTGGTCGGGGTCAAGGGCTATGGCTGGGGGCGCCAGACGGGCCCAACGATTGGCTGTGAGGAGGCAGTGTTTAAGGAGACAAAGCTCTTTGGATGGATATACGGAGGGTCACACTCTACTTTAAAACCCTGATGTGTCTTTTAGATATATATATATACACATTTAGTAAATGCTTTATAAGACACGATATTGGAGTTGTAGGAACATGGATGGATGTGTTTCAACTTGTTAATGGACAAACCCTTTTCCCAAGAAGCTGGGACATTTCAAAAGTTTGGACAACATATGCAATTTTTGGAGGGGGGCTAATAATGTCTTTATTTAGAGATAGGACATTGGATAGAGTCTGAAATCAGGGAGAGAGAATGAGAGTGGAGAATGACATGCGGCAAAGGAGTCACTGGTCGGATCCGAACCTAGGTCGCCCACCTCATGGACTTTAGCCTCTCTGCATTGGACGTTCATACATTGTATGATTTATTCCTTTTTTTTGTCAACAGCGTAGATCTATCTAAATGTGCCTGACTTTTCCTATAGGGTAAATTCTTGTTAGAATAAGTTATTGTGTGGTTTAAGTATTTTTTATTGATTGATTTATTTCATTGTACAGATTTATGTTGGGGCTTTTTTACCTTTATTATAAAAACAGTGGACAGAGCAGGACATTCAGGTGAGTGAGATAGAGTGGAATGCCATGCAGTCGGACTACGTCCTCCTAACATGAGGAGCGAGTCAACCCTCTAGGCCATCAGCTCCTCATGTGATTTTGGTCTTTTAATGGGATTTTTTTGTGTTAAAGATATAGAATATTGCCAGCTATCCTATGACTTTCAACAACCAAAAAACAGAAACACCTGCTTCTCTGGGTTTTGAATTGTTTGTGTTACAAAGCCAGAAAGCCAGAGATTCATTGATCCCATTCATCTTTTCTCGCAAACATTCGCCATATTAAAATGTTTTACTGTACATTTTAAATACTTCATATAGCCACTGTTTTTCGTGCATACTACTATACTACTTATTTGAAATATAATGCATAAGCTTTAGTGACATTTATTTGGATTCATTTCAATACTGTGACTCATCATCATGAGCCACAGGTAGCTCTCTTTCTTGTCACGGTTCTGACATAGACTCAAAGTAAATTGGAATCCAAGCACCTGCAGCCTTCATAACCCATCCAGCCTGACCTCTATCTCTCTCAAGTCTGACCACGGAGCGATGGAAAGCAAAACAGGCTGGGCTCCTTTAATCGATTCTCTACGCTGACACTTGGCCTGCCAGATTGAATGACCATAATGACCATATGTGTGAAGGTAAGATTTGATGGGCCAATTCAACAGCTACCCCAACATGAGATTAAATTGAGCTCATGCAACCAGAAGGTGGAAGGTATAGGGAGGGATTGATAGAAGTAGTGTGGTTTATAAAAGGGTTTGCAGGTTAGATTTTTACACATATAGTCATTTCTTTGAGGCAAAACATATCCTCTGAGACACTGGAATTCCAATCTAACGGTGCCCTGCAACACTGACCTGCAGGCTGATGGAGCAAACTGATGGTGGAATACCTGGCTGAGGAGGTGTGTGTCTTAGTGAAAGTGTGTTGGAGATCAGAGCGAGACAAATAGAAAGAGAGAGAGAGAGAGAGAGAGAGAGAGAGAGAGAGAGAGAGAGAGAGAGAGAGAGAGAGAGAGAGTTAGAGAAGAAGCTTGAGATTGAGTGCTACCAGCAGAAGCATTGTCCCCTGCACTGAGTGACACACCATCTCTTCCTCCCCGGACACAGACCCTTCTTTGTTTGTTCCCTGAGGCCAAACGAGTTCAAACAGAGGGGAGGGGATGGAGCGGAGGGGGTGGTGGGGGGGGGTCACAGAGCGGAGAGAGGAATCTTTGGATAGAGGGATGGAGGGGCAAAAAAGAAGGAGATGGCAGGGACAGGGACTTGCACAGACTGATGAAGAGGGATGGAGGGAAGAGAGACTCTTTGGCCTGACAGGATGTAAGCCTGTTTAGAAAAGGAGAAAAAAGTATGGGGAGGGGGGAGGGGGTTGGAGGTAGTCTGTGTGAGTGTGTTTGTGTGTTTCGTGTGAGAAAGAGAGAATTAAGGGGTATTTTCTCTGCAAGCTTTGCACGCTTTCCCTGCATCTGTGGTTACGGGTAGCCCATGAAAAGAGTTTGTGTGAGGCCTTTTTGCATGGAGGGAGAATTCATGCATGCATACGCCCCCCCCCACCCCCCACATGCGTGTCCATGTGCTTATATATGCATGTGATTGTAAGCTTCTTTGGTTGCTTCATGTACTTACAAACTTGAGGAACACATGGCCCAGTGCATGCTGAGGATGGGGTTCGGGCTGCAGACTGGACTCCACTGCGGACAACACGTCTTTGTGCAACTCCAGGATGTCCTCGATATTTGAAAACAGAATCTATAAACAGAGAGATGATGTAAAAAGGGGAGGGGACGCAGGGGAAGGAAGAGATAAAGAAACAGGATGGAGGAAGAAGAGCAAGGAAGGGACCAGCAGATGGTTGGAGGTTGGGGGGGGGGGAAGAAAGCAAATCTGTCATTAAATATTATATGTGAGGATAACAATGTCCAAAAACAACTGCTTTGAAAAGTATTCACAAGCCAGAGAGAGTCTTACCTTCACATGTTCAGGTGAGAGACACTGCTGGTCATCTGCTGTTTGTCTGATTCTGTGCAAAAATGCCTGAAAAATAAAAGAAACATTGCTTAAAAAATCTGTTCTTGTTGATAATAAAAGCACATTAAGCATTTAAATCCACATAAAAGGACGACCTTAAGAAAGACTGGCTATCAATCAGGGCTATAAAGAACTGTTAGGTATCTTACATTTGGTTCAGTTTGTGACTGCGTATGTGGCAGCTACACCCTGTGACCAAAAATCACCTGTTTTTGTTTACAACTCATGCTGACATAACAGAAATTCATAAGTTTATCCCAAAAGTTCCAGTTGTTGTCAATCAACTTCAGCATGCTAGTCCGCTTAGCAGGGTTTGTTAATCAAGCTAGCTGATCGAATTAGTAAGTCAAGCTCAATGGGATAAATAGCATTCAAATATGTTGATCTTATTCGGCTAAAGCTGGATATATCTCCGCGGAAACACTTCAAGAATGCTACTCATGACGGTAACACCTGAATGTGTCGATTAGGAGAGGAGGACAAAAACAGACTGGGAGGAAAATCCTTCTCCCTGCAGCGCTGAGCCAGCCTCTCAATGCAAATTCAGACTTAAATGTCATAACAACTAATACTACTGAGAGCTTTCTGGGGGCCCAGCTGCACAGCGGGGGGCCCTTAGAGGTTAGCTAAAGCATCGTCCACTGCTACTTATTAAAGCAACAAAAAGACAAATTGTCCTCATTGTTGTTTCATTAAATTGAAGCCTCTGTTAAAATGTGAACCCTGTCTTCTTAAAATAGAATGAGCTTTTTTTCGTGATGTTAATCTTGTCTGCAGCTCCATTCACTTTAACTGTATCAAAATGACGTTACCACAAGCGCTGTGATTGGACGGCTGGAAAGCATTGTATGTCCTGCATTTACAACACTTCCAGTATGGCTGCCGTTTTTTCAGTCGCCATGGTTTCCTGTACAATGATAAACCAAGTGAGATACCGAAGAGCCCTTTCACCGGGCCTTTCAAAGTGCCCAACTATTCATTTGGTGTGCATTTTTGCAGGATAACCCTTCTTTCAGAGATAATGAGAGCGGTTTCTGACTTCTTCAACCTTTCTGTGTGCACACAACACAAGAAGTGGAAGTCCAGGTTCCATCTACTGCTCGCCTCAGAATGAGTTTGTACATTAAGTACTCTTTGCTTTGAGGAAACAGAAAGGTACAGACATCATTACACGCGAGGATAAACAAACAAGGCTTTCAGCTTTCCACAGTCACATGTACACTCACATAAGACTGCTTTTTCATGGTGCTACGCTTCAATGTGTCACAGTAGCTTCGCGATCCCTTAGCCACCACAGAGCTTTCCACTATATGACATGTTTTTTTTTTTTCATCCCTGTCTTGTGACACTTACAGCCCACAGTATGGATCCTCTGTAGTGGAAACTAATGCACCTGAGCAGTCATCTGTAAGACATCAGCAAAAAATAGCTGCTTCATTGTTGCAGCGTCGACACACACCACTTCACTGAAGACGACCATAATAGGCTCATGTCAAGTCGAGAGCTGCTTGTGTGTGCAGATTTATCTGTGTGTGTGTGTGTGTGTGTGTGTGTGTGTGCTTGCCAATCAAGACTTGTTAGAAAAAAAATCGGATGGTGAAGAGACTGGAAGTGAATCTGTTTCTTTTATTCTCTGTTCCTCAATTCTGCATTGATCGGCTTGCGTCTGAAAGGCTTAACTAACCTGTTTCCGTCTGACTGTCTACCTCATTTCCAGATGCCAACGCTGTCTTAAAAAGAAAAGGGATTGAAGAGATATGAATCCCCCAGACCACTAAATTTAAAAAAAAACTCCATTCCTGTAGCCTCTTCTTTCTCTGGCAGGCTGCTGATGTTGTGTCTGCCAGCATCTCCGAGCCTAAAGTCTGAAAATTGACTGCGAGCCATGTGGATGAAGGGTTTAAAAAATGAACGATAATACTGGGTACAATGATGAACGTACAACGATAGTGATAATCCAGTTTGAGCTGATGGACAGTAATTCTGATATGAGATGGATGACACCTGCAACCTGCACAGTTGGAGAGACGGAACAACTAATTGATGATCTGTATTCAACTCGCCTGCTCGAGTACATGACATAGAGACAGTTTAGATGTTTGTAGTAGAGTTGGTTTTGTTTGGTCAGGTTTGTGATTCTCTCTGTCCTAGATATATAGCGATTCTTGTGTTGTTGTTCACAGTGTTTAAAAATGACAAAATAACTACCCAGGACAGGAGCGCTGCATTCTGTAAACAATGTCCCAATTAGTCTGAGAAATCTGAGGTCCTCTTTTTTTTTTTTTTTTATTAAATGTCAACACTTCCCAATTAAATGTGAATTTAGTGCCAATAGGGATTTAAGTTTGAACCTTTTTGTATTATAAATGTACAAAACGTCTCAGTTCATCAGTGTAGAAATGGAAAAAAGTACAAAGTTGAACAGGAAATATGTCATCAGAACAAGCAAAAATAGAAAAACAACTGAAGATTAAAAACGAGTTTTTCGCTCGAGCTAATGGAGGTAATTCTTCTAAGCAGTATTTCATACACCTTTTTTTTTTTTTTTTTTTTTTTTTTTAAATGGTAGTTTAGTACGACCCTTGAAAAACAATTCTTTAGGGATGCCAAAGGCCTAGTGGTTAGTTAGGGCGCTCCATGTACAGAGGGTGCAGTCCTCAAAGGGGACAGCACAGGTCTGAATCCAACCTGTGGCTCCTTTTCTCACATGTCATTCCTCACTCTCTCTCTCCCTCCCTCTCTCTCTCTCTCTCTCTGATTTCTGACTCTGTCCACTTCCTGTCTCTCTAATAAAGACTTAAAAACTCCTGCTATTCTTGCACAGTAGATGCAAATAAAAAGAATCTTTCAAGAATTAAACTTAAAAAATAAGTGTTCTTTTTTTTAGTTGGAGCCTGGTCCAACTTGACTGGTGAAGTCCTGATCCATCGATCTGGACAAACAGTCTGAGAGAGGTGAAGCTGCATCCTTAAACTTGATCAAATGAAGTCTCAAAACATCACTCCTTCGATAACATCGAGAGAAAATGGAAACTATAAGCCTTAACTTTATGAAACTGCATGTTAGTATGTTTCTTTTCATATTTGATTCAGTTTTGCAAACAAAAAGCACAACTACAAAGTAATCACCTGCACCTCATAGAGTAAAGAAAGACAGAGCTGCTCAATGCTCCGAGAGGCTGATGTACTTCTACTTCACATTCCTCCATTCTTGTTTTCAGATTTTAAATGTACTCTTCAAAAGATAAAGTCTTTATAAAATGTTCCTGGTTTCAATCTTTGAATGACTATTCCACTAAATGTTAGTATTTTTGTTCTGTCATTTGGTTGAACTAACCCCGCGTGCTCTAAAAAGTCACATTTAACACTGGCTTACTACACATGTTACTTACTGTAAGTCCCTCTCCGTTAATGAAAGACTCACACTCTTAATCACACATTTGCTCTAAAGATAGAAGCCCAGCCGAGCCGAGCAGGCAGTCAAGCAGCAATCATATCATTTCCTCAGAGGCCCAACACTTTGGGAGGCTTGTCTTAAGTTCCTCCCTCTTTACCAGCTTTTATGCGTAGGTGGCACCAAAATAAGATGCAAAGGTCCTCGGCAGTGAAGTGCGACCTCACTAATTAAGTCCAGCATTAAAGGGAAGCAGAAGTTGTCGCGTTCTTGACTGGTTTCTGGAGGGAGGGAGCTGACTGTGCTCGAGGCGTGCGCTAATTAAATCCCCCATATGGTAACTTGTACCGTGTCCACACTGGAGGAGTCACTCATGTGAGAGATTGCTCCCTGGCAGAGAAGACAAGAAGAGGCAGGAAACAGGGCTTTCCCTCAGTCGCTTTTTAGATGGTGAAGAGCGGAGGGAGGGACAGGGGATGGGTGAAGGGTGAAGAAAAAGAGAATAAAACGAAATATCTAGAACTTAAAATCTTGCCTTAGACAGCTTGCATCAAGAATCACTCCTGAAATAAAATGTGCCACACAGATGTGGTGACAGTGGGGAGGATGGAGAGAAGGAGCAACAAAGAGATCCTTTCAGTCCAACGTCCTGCTCCAACACAGCTATTCTCACCCAGGGTTTGTATTGGCTGTCTTCATTGTTCCATCACAAAGCACACACAGGTTTCTCCGGAGAGAAAAATTTGAAGCTTTGTCAGTCCATCATCTTGACTGAGACACTGACTGCAGCAGACCCAGAGAGGGACAACAGAACGCATCATAAACCGGGCATACACACCAAGCATGTCGACGTTTACTTAAAGTCAGGGGGTCTTGGCAGTCCGGACTGGATTTCAGAGCGTGATCAGAAACCAGAACCAGAAATAACCCCCAAAAAAGAAAGAATGATGGGTCTAATTTGAGGGATGCTGACACATGATAGGCAGCAGTTTGTTGTGCTTGGAAAGCTAAGCATCATAATTGGACAAACTGCCGTCTAGACAGATTTTCATATTCAGCTTTCTTTTGAGCACATAACACTAATGACCACCAGAGAAAAGCAACTTCCTGTTTAGACAAACACATCAGTCATACTAAGAAGAAGAATCAGTATAGTTTATACTTCAGTTTAATATGAGAAAAGTTCTGGTGTTCTCTAATAAGTGTAAGAAGTTTGCTACCAAAAAAAAAGGTCATCCAGAGGTGTTTTGCTTTTACAGAGTCAGAACTGCAAAAGCACTTTGAGAAACTGCAAGCTGCAAAGGACAGCTCAACCTGAAACCACCTGCTTGGTGATATTAGCGAGACTACTTGCTGTTCGTGCTGATTTTCAAAAGTGAATAAGGTGGGTTGGAAAGAAAATCACCATTTCCCCTTTTCAGCCCTCTGCCAATCCCCTAATGCTACTTTTGCTAAGACGAGAAGTGTTTCAGAAGTGTGAACAAATGCAAAAAACACATATTTCCACCTCTATATTGGATAACACAAAAGGAAGCAGATGTGACTGCAGCCTCGTATAACCCTCAGCACATTACAAGTCATGCATCATTTGCATGGAGAGGACAATACCTCAG